CTCCTACCTTACGTTCGATCTCCTACCTCGTGTTCGACCTCCTACCTCGTGTTCGACCTCCTACCTTACGTTCGACCTCCTACCTTACGTTCGATCTCCTACCTCGTGTTCGACCTCCTACCTTACGTTCGACCTCCTACTCTACGTTCGACCTCCTACTCTACGTTCGACCTCCTACTCTACGTTCGACCTCCTACCTTACGTTCGGCCTCCTACCTTACGTTCGACCTCTTGCTCTACGTTCGATCTCCTACCTTACGTTCGGCCTCCTACTCTACGTTCGACCTCTTACTCTACGTTCGACCTCCCACCTTGCGTTCGACCTCCCACCTTACGTTCGGCCTCCTACCCCTCTACCTCCCACTGTGCCTACCTACTCTGCCTTCGACCTCATATCTCGACCTCCTACTCGCTACCATTCTGTATACGTCTGCGACTGCAATTTGCTGAGCTGTCATGATTGACAGTCACCGCACCTACTTCCGAGGATACGCTTTAATAAGGATGAATCAGTTGCAATTTCAAACAGGCAGAGAACTGAATAATAAACATGTCGCAAAGCTTCGCAAGATCTTCCAGCTGGAAGGTTGTTATCATTATGACCATCGGCATAGCATCCCCGTTATAATGAACGAGAGTCTCCTGTTGGACGCACTAAGTAGACAACATCCGGGTTTAGACCAGCTCCCAACCACAGGAGAGGAAGCACCGGCGTTGAGGTTTGCAGCCGACGTGCAAGTAATTTGCTTACACGGAAGACATAGAATCGCTGCTGCGGAACAAACTTTGGGGTTGCTAGATCGGTGGTGGATTGTCGAAGTCTTCTCTGATGGTAAGTACTAGAACATAAATGAATCATGGAGAGGCTGAAATGTGCATGTAGACATGCCCTTGCAACAGCGACGAGATATACAGGAAGATCATAGCAGTTCTCTTGGACTCACGCATGATGTTGTTTTCAGATACATACTGGAATCGCTGAAGCGCAATGACAAGACGGACTACGAGAAATGGTACAATCGTCTGCAAGATGACTAAAAGAAAGTCTTTCGCAGATTGCGCGGCTACACCGGCGGAGTATTACTGAAGTTATTCGAGGACCTAATCCCGTTCCGCCTCGAATGGGAATATTTCTGCTTCGGCAGATTAGCACTCATTATGCAAGCAAAATGCGAAGAGGTGAGTACTGCGGTTGTTGTGGTATCGGTACAAGTGCTAATTTGCACGTAGGAGGTCTGTAGATATTTGAGGTCACTTCATATGCTCTAGGTCGACATCTTAGGACCTACAATAGCTATCCAAGATCTTGATGAGACGACTGTGAAGTTTCTTCGACTTAAGATGCCCGCCCATTCTACTGTCGACGCAAAGCAAGTTTAATACAGTCTACGTAACGGAGAAATATTTTGTAACGTTCACGATCTCTCCGAACGGAAAGCTCTCGAGGCAAGACTTTTGAAATGTCCACGTTTCATAACACTGGAGACATTCTTCAAAGATGCGATCTATCTCAAGGCGTGCTCTGACGGCCTGAACGAGCTTTTACTAAGCACAAAATTAGGCGCAAAACCGACTACGAACAGTCTGCGAGCCTCTTTGGCTTACTACTTCAATGATGATACGAACCAGTTCCCACTAAGATACATGCAGTTGTGGTTTTATGCCCTAAGAAACTTTCCTTACATTGACTATAAGAAATTTAACGCTCTAAGGGCTGACATGGATTCTACAAGTACAAGTCTACGACTGGAGTATAACAGCGATTTTGGCAGACTCGCACGCCACGCACTGTCACTCGGCTTTTCCTTGAAGAAAGGAGTGAGACATGACGCTAGTAACACGAATGCGAATAACTTCGATTTGATTTCGTTGGAAAAGCCTGCACTAAGCACTAACGATAAAAGTCTCCCTAAGAAAGAACGATCGAATCGTCCCTGCGAACGTTCATTCCATCGCAACCGCGGCTTTATCACCTTGGAAAACGTCGTGGCGATCTACCCCCAGCCTTGTGGAGCGTATCCTACACTATTCGCGGTAACGAGAGACATAGTATTTCGCTTTTGGGGAGATATTCTTCCTCCAAGTGAAAGCTCTACTCGACAACGTAACGCTCAACATAAATGGGAAGCTGAAGACCTACCGGCTCCAGGTGAGAGCGATACAAGGATATACCGACCTCCGTCCTCTGACTATGAACGCTCCAGTCGTTCTCCTTCTGTTGTATCGGAAGTAAGACCAAAGACGTTTGGCCAGGGGGAGGGATGGAATGCAGGCGACTTTTCTAGCTTTTATATGCATCCTCACCTTGAGGCAAAGCATCCATTTGTCTCGCGGCCAAATGTGCCGAGTCTTAGTGAGACACTGACCGCACACGAACCTCCCCAGGCAGAGCACACACAAAGTGTTGTCGTGGATCAAAACTTGGTCGAGGACCGTCGACGAGCTCTAAGGATCTCGTCGGCAAGCTCCAAATCCACAAACCTTTTTGACGATGGTTACGAAAAAAAATATCCAGCGAACGACAGAGCGTCCGAACGAGCAAATAGCGACGACTTGACAAGGCAAATGCCCTTCAAAGGACTAGGAAAGCAGCAAGCAACGGAATCAGTGGAGTCGGAAGAGCAGCCCCTACCTGCCGACGACCAGAGTTTGGAAACTGTTCACACACAAGAGCCACAAGCTCAAGAGGAGATAAATCGCTGGCGGCAACCCAGCGGATCTGATTGCTAACTTCCAGATCCTGAACAGCAGATTCAGGAGACCGCCGAGGTGGTTGGCACGGTGTATGATGATGATGCAGAAATGGCCGATTCTCAGGCGATCAATGCGCTCGATGCGAGAGATCAGGCCGTGTCCAAGAAACGACATCGATACACAACTTTCCCTAGTGGTCCGTCCAAGAGACAGGCCCAGCTCTTCAACCCTGGTCAAGTGGCGCACCTTGGAATCAGAGTTAACCCGGACATTGAGCCGCTGGCCCAACAGGATGCATCGACGACGCCTCGTCACGATGGACTGACCACGGCGAACGGCAACGCAGATTTAGAGGCGGAGAAGGAACACATCCAGCAGGAGCATTCGAGCACAAAGCTCGTTGTGAGTTCTAAGCACAAGACTACATTCCCAGGTCCCGTCTCTCAGAGAACCCGTCGTCACGGTAATAATTTGAATATATCGAGTCCGCGAACAGAAGATAATTGTAGAAGAAAACGTCAAGATCACGACGACACAGTTTCCGCTACAAAATCGGCAACGCACGAACAGGCGCAAATTCCCGACTTTGATGTTTTCAAAAGTCAAGTCGAGTCAGTGCGCTCCATCTGGGATCAGTTGGATCATGGAAGGATATATGTCACCGGTCCAGTGGATGTGCCGGGGCTGGACTCTAAACGCCATACATCGCATAACAAACTCTGGAGCTGGGCAGAACATGAACATGAACAATTTCGGCTACAATTAGACCGTCTGCTAGAGCAGAACTATGGGTTCCAATTGATAAGTTCTGAGGGCCATCCTCGGGAGCTACATTATCGTACCGCCCCGCTAGAGAGCTTCTGGCAGGTCTATTTCGGAACTGCTCCACGAATCTATTAGTTAGCTGTGATATATCCGCTTCAAGAATTCGGCGGATCTCGTGGGAAGGTGAGGAAGACGGAATTGGTCCGGGTGTAATGAGCATCAGCGCCTAAGAGGCAACAAGCAATGCTACTCATGTGAGAATCCGGACGTATTCTAGCGTTACGACCCGAATTGCTACACTTGAAGGCATCCAGGAAGCAACAGTTCGCCAGTTCGCCGAACTCAAATACGGTTACGGCCTAAGTCGATCTTCGAAAGAGCGCCTGCCGATATCTGCAGGTATAAAATTGCACGATGAAGATCGCTTCCACGTACCCAGTATTTCGACACAGCCCATCGCACAACATGAGGATCCTGTTCAAGTGATCCTAAGTCCTTCGGGCCGCTTCACCGACCTGCACATAGGTGGGATGGCCCTCGGGCACTGAGTTGAACACGTGCTGACACAAAGATCTCCAAGATCACGGTAGTCTCGTTGTTGCAGCTTCAGTAGAGCAGTGCCGTAAGGCATTCCTCCTGTGGCCACCCACGCCTTCTAATCTAAGCGCCTTTCACCGGAGTAACGCTTCCGAATCTAAGCTACTCAAGCTATGCTCGGAGATGATGGGCGGGATATCAATCGAGCTAACGTCTGAAAATGCGCTGATAATGCCACCAGGCGTCATCCACGCGGTGTTCACGTCTAAAGGTGGTTTCCTTATTGGCAAAACCTATCTCACGGCCCTCGGTCTTAGTCCGATGTCGCGGTGGTAGGGAGGCAATTCATCATACGTTGAGCATTCAGATGGAGAGACCAAAAAGGCAGCTATCTTGAGGTGGCTTGACGCAGCTGATCTGGTCGACGCTGAGATGTAATAAGGCTTGGCGAATAGCTGAAAAGATACCTGCGGCGCTCCTGGGAGATGTGGGTCAGTGCGAGAAGGCGATGGCTAGAGCTTACCCAAAAGTTGCGTAGGAAATTGCCGTCAACGGCTCAGAAGGAGCTATATCGCATGGAGGCCTGCATTGACATTGTCGACGCGCTGATAAGGGCGGTACCGCGAAAGAGAAAGCGCGAAGTGATCAAGTAGTCTAATGTGAGATGGTGTCGAGGCTTGATAGGTACAGGGATTCTCGTAGGATAGAGGCCCTACGTGTATGGAAATCTAGTAAACTCGCACTCGTCTTCCGAAATGCTACAGTAGTATGTGATATTCATCTTTCCGGTAGCAAGGCGAGCGCTTCCATTCATTAGGCTTTGCGCGGTGTCTACTTTCCTTCACATTCCATTCGAAATAGCAAGCCTTCTGAACGGCACGCAGGTTACACGCGGGCGACCATGGGAGGCCATCTACCCCCACAGTAGACTCACTTATCGCTAGGTAGCACTGAAATACTCAGGCATAGCTGCTAGGGGTCACAAGTCTTGCCCAACGTGAACTTGTTTTCATGCCAAGAATGTCTGACAGGTAAGGCAGTCCTTCCTTGGCGGAGGTTTATAAACCAGACATCCAAGTCAAAATTCTCTTTTCCACCTCGCCGTTTCTGCTTCTTATCTACCATACCGTTATTTCACATATTCGATGAGAGTTTGAACATAAAGTGGCTAGCCCCGGATCGACAGAAGTCCCAATGGAACCGACCTATGATACACCGCATCATATCACAATTGTACACGACGATGTATGGAGACACTGCAAAAATATCGAGGTCGTGAAAAATCAAGGACGAGATCATCTTGGCGTATCGTTCAGGTGCCGTCTTGAGAAGCGCAGCCTTTGCGCGAAAACCCTCGTGGTCGTGAAACAAGAGCCAATGGATCTCTCGCGCCAGATGAGGTTTCTTAAAAGACCGATGCACGATAACATAGCAGAGCTGTATGCTGCATTCTGGAATGGCTCAATACTTTCCTTGATATATGAGGACATGGAAATATCGTTGCAACAATCGCTACACATCGACATGAACATTTGGATAGTCGAACACTGGGAGCAGTATAGTCAGACTGGATCCATTCTCAAGCAGGTACGTACAATGGGAATTGAAGTGATGCCGAGCTAAGCCCTTGCAGATTGTTATGGCACTACAATACCTACATAAGCATGCAAAATGTGCCCATGGAGACATACAGCCAGCTAACGTCCTGCTTAATCTGCAGGGCTGCGTCAAGATTGGTGAGTAAGAATGAAATGCTGCCGACGTTTGCTAAGGAATTCTAGCAAATTTCGGGCATAGCATACTGCAGCGGGTCACTGACTTGACTGTCGACTATGGAGGGCTCGCGAAGACCTTCCTCGACATTATCCCTTCGGGAAGTCACTCGATAAACGTGTATCGAATGATTTATCGACTATGCTCTCAAGGTGCATTCGATGAGATCTTGGAGGTAAAACTGCTCCACGAAGCCTCAAGATGGTTCTAACAGCGACAAATAGCACAAAATCACCAAACGAGCATGTAATCAAGACCTTATACCTCTAGTCATACGAACAAGAAACCTGAGAGATTACCATATACGAAAATCCACTTCTGGACAGGTCGAGACCAGGCGCAATGAATACCTGACTCCAAGAAGTCTTGCGCCGTCCAAGCTTCTCAGACCACTTTTGCTACCTCAGCGTTTGCAAGATGCAGGATCTGAGACTAGAGGAAGCCCTTAAGAGATGCCTACAATTTCTGGTGGAAGTCGTGCGAGGTATACGAGTATACCCCAGACACCGCATAGCAATAGTACTACGCCCTGTGCAGCTTTAATCCCGATACAAGGACTACATGTCTTCGCCAAAATCCTACATTAGGGGAACAGAGTTACCTGCGAGCCGTGGGCAACCGTCAAAATAAGCATCCAACGTTAATTTCAGCCTGCTAAGCGCTTGCGCGTCGGGGTGTGGACTATGATGACACACGGCTTCAAAATGCACAGGGAGTTGCGCACTTCAGGGTCTTGTACCGTAGAGCTCCGAGGTTGTAGGATAACTGATGGCCTATGATTTCAAAGGGAGTGGCTAGATGGCGATTAAGTTATACTGCAGAGTGAAGCAGATACTTTGACTAACTTACTAAAGTTCTCAATGGGAAGGAATTGTAGACTAGAATAGATGTCGAGAGTCGAGCAAGAACGATACAGTGAGTTAACGTTACCTGTGTATGTACAGTACTGTAAGTGATTCCATACCTTGATGTCCTTTTACGCAGCTCGACTGGAGGAGCTGTTGTTCTATCATATCGAAGTTGTCCGGCATGTGAGCGCCAAGATGGCATCGCTTTTTCGGTGCCTCCTTGGCAAGGATCGAGGAACGCAAATTGAGTGCCAACTTTAAGGATTTTGTGTGTCTGTCGACATTGCGCTGCTGTGATGAATCGTTTCCACGTAAAATATAGACTACTATAAGTTTCGCAGCTGCCCGTAGGCTGTTTTAGACTGGATAGCATGCTGGCGCTCCCGAAGCCGCTACCCAATCAAGTCTTCGAATTAGCCGTAACTGCAACACCTTTCTAGAAGCTTCCACTACTATATACTAGGCAACTTATCCTAAAAGATTTCATTGCAACTATACTCGAAGATGGACAAACCAAACGCTCGTAATTTTGACGATTTCACGAAGTTCCTCAATGCTATAATCACCTACGTGGAGCACAATGAAGAAAAAGGATCGGATCTGTCTAAGACTGCAACAGACGCCGCGGACATGATAGAAGATTGGGCCGTGACCTCAGAACAAGCGAACTTCTTCCAGGCCGACGTAAACACCATTCGAGGTGAAGCGACTTACGGAATGCTTATCTTTAAGCTCAATTGGCTTAGAGACAACAGGAAAGAGGATAAGCGAGGTATGCCTCTGTCGACCATAAAGTGACGATTATCTTCAACTGTCTAATACGTTCGAGCAGCGATTAAACCTACGTAGGAATAGATTGCGACACGATACTTTGGAAGCCTTCTTCAGAGGGCGAGATTTATGACCTGAGAAAACATACGGCATTGCCCTCTCCTCTTGCGGTATAAGGAGCTGCTGTCGACCTCCTCACCCTAGCGGATGATTTACCTAGAGACTGGCTAAGGGGTTACGGAGGGGTGGAGAAGAGGAGAATGCTGAACGATGTGGACCATTTCCCACTTAGATACATGCAATTGTGGTGTTATGCCCTGAGAAACTTTCCTTACATTGACGACAGAAAATTTAACGCTCTAAGGGCCGACATGGACTCCACTAGTACAAGTCTTCGACTGAAGTATAATAGCGATTTTGGCAGACTCGCACGCCACGCACTATCACTCGGCTTTTCCTTAAAAAAAGGAGTGATACATGACGCTAGTAACACGAATGCGCATAACTTCGATGTGGTTTCCTTAGAAAAGCCTGAACTAAGCACTAACAATGAAGGTCTTCCAGAGAAAGAACGATCTAATCGTCCTTACGAGCGTTCATTTCATCGCAACCGCAGCTTTATCACCTTGGAAAAAGTCGTGGCGATCCACCTTCAAACTTGTGGAGCGTATCCTACGCCATTCGCGGTAACGAGAGACATGATATTTCGCTTTTGGGGAGACATTCTTCCTCCGAGTGAAAGCACTACTGGACAACGTAACGTCCAACATGAGTCGGATGCCCAAGACGTACCGGCTCCAGGTGAGCAAGAGAATGACCATTTGCGGCGATCTAGGGGATCTAACTGCCAACTTCCAGATCCTGAACAGCAAATCTAGGAAGCCGCCGAGGCGGTTGGCACGGTGTATGATAATAACGCAGAGCTGGCCGCTTCGCAGACAATTAATAAGCTCAATGGAGTGAACCAAGCTGTACTAGAGAAAGGAAACAGATATACCCAATTCCCTAGTGATCAGTCCAAGAGGGAGGGGCAGTTTTTCGACCCTGATCAAGTGGCACATCTTGGGATAGGCACTGATGAGAATGCTGGACCACCGCCCAGACAGTTCACCCTGAAGAGGCTTTATTAAGATGGAGATCAAGATGGAGACACTACGGCGAACGAAGTTGCAGGCCCAGAATTCAAGAAGGAACACTTCGATGCTCACACAGGCCTGGATCAGCATGACCATTCGAGCACAAACCTCGTGGTGAGCTCTAAACGCAAAACAGGATTCCCGGGTCCTGATTTCCAGACACTCCTTGACGATAAGTCAACTGCACTGACACCGCGGCGAAGAGAGCAGAAGGCATCACACACAGGCGGCCGTAAGAGGGACTCTCAAGATAACGAGATGACCATCCCCATAACAGAATCTGCAACGAATGGACAAGCGCAAATACCCGGCTAGGACGTTTTCGAAATTCAAGTTGACTTAGTGCGCTCCGTTTGTGACCAACTAGATCACGGAAGAATATATGTCACTAGCCCGGCCGATGTGCCCTCGTTGGACTCTAGACGCCATGCGCTACATGATAAACTCTGGAGCTGGGCAGAACACGAGTATGGACATTTTCAGCTACAATTGAACCGTCTGTTGGAAAACGACTACGGGTTCCAAATAGTAAGTTCCGAGAGCCATCCTGGAGAGGCGTATTATCGTACAGTGCCGCCGCAGGCCTTCTAGCAGATCTATTTCGAGGCTCTCCTACGCATATATTGGCTAGCTGTGATTTATCCGCTTCACACACTAGATGGATCTCGCGGAAAAGTCAGAAGAACAGACGTGATCCGTATGTAATACGTATCCGCGCCTGGATAGGGAAAAGCGTCAGTGTACCGCTCGAAACATAAGTATCAGAAAGTAGAGTTACGGATTTAGTCCGCCTTCCCCATAGAAAGGTCGCCAGCACGTAGTAATGGTAGGGCGAAGTAGGCGGAAATATGAAGGGAGGCAGTGGCATGAATGCAGTGAGTCAGGGAACTTTGGCCGAATTGTTGATATCTTCGTCAAGATCATTGTTCGCAAGAGAGTAGTGCGGCGACTGCCAAGCTTCGCAGCTTGCACATCAAGGCATGGTCCGTGCTCGCCTTCACCGATGTCATCTTTCTCCGAAATTCTTCGAAACTTCCTCCGTACTTTCATACCACAAGCAATGGATATCTACCGGGATAGTGTCGTCAACCCATCAGGACAGCCGGGTCCTAAACACAAGCAAGTAGCTAATGAGGCCACTTCTACTCCTTTAAGGCTGCATGACGAGACTGCGCGGTTTCTTAAGAAATTGCACAAGCTAAAATCCACAGGAAATACGCTCGCAGACTATGAAGAACTACGCGACGAAGTCATGCGCCAGACCGAGCGAGTTTCGACACATATTACGATATTAGCAGAAGTCATTCGAATCGTTGCCATCGCAAGAGACTGGGAAGATGAGGGTCTGAAGCAGGCAAGCTCGGATCACAAGTGGGTTGAATTCAAAGCCATCGCGAAGGCTGTAGAGGATATAGAGGGTGGCGGGAAGAAGAGGAAAGAGCCTGGTGGAGGTGTTGACCGGAACGAGAAGCAACGCCAGCGAGACTTTGCGACCATAGCAGCCTTGTGGTCGCCCAAATTGGTTGGGCACTATAGATGGGAGACTGCGAGCCATACGCACATGCGATTGCTCCGTAAATGCGCTCGAGCCTGCCCTGATTTTGCCGAGGATTTTCTGCCTTCCGCGAATACGGTATTGGTAGCACGGCAGCGAGCCTCGCTCCAGAACAGCAAAGTGAAGACTATCAAAGAGACAAGAGCCTGCAATACAAACACCAGACGGCCGAGCGGGAAACCCAGCCCTGCCAGTCGATGCTCCCTGACATTTCAAGATCTGCATCACGTGTCCGATCTAGTTGAGAAAGGTGAGGTGGAGATGTATGGAGAGCAGCTCTCGCGGTCATCCGTGGACCCAATCGACCTGGACTTGTGGGTCACTAGCGAGGATAGCGAGATTCCGATCGGGGAAGATGCGACTCTATGCAGCTTGCGGCCTCAGCACTACAGACAGTACCTGCTGCAACCCGACAACTTCGGCCTGCTGCAGGACAGAAAGGATGCAGAAGACGTGACGCCGAAGAAGAAGGCATCAGTGATTTCGAAGAAGAAGGTATCAGTGATTTCGAAGAAAGCATCCTCTGTCGATAAGTCATATTGGCAAGCCACGAAAAACCTGTCTAGAACAGGTCAGCCTTCGAAAGGCACAGTGAGATCATCCACGCGCCGAAAAGCACTTACGCCAGACACTAGAGCCGCGGATCAAGACCTCGAGGCAGACCCTGTGATTGATGCGACCGCTTCGCATAGCCATATCACTCGGCAGTCTTCCATCAGTACTCTAACCCCACTTACATCTGCTGAATCGTCGCCAGAAACAAGTTCCGCGAAATCCTTGAGAGTCTTGGATCCATTCCAGGTGCACCAAGGGGCTTTAAGCATCGAAGAGAGCCTACACAACAAACATCACGAAGAGATCCAGCTCTATGCAGCGAAGCTGCAAGACGAGTCTGATCAAAGCGACATGCATAGCGTGCGAGCCGCGTGGCTGACCCAGGCCACAAGATGGGCCAGCATCTGGACTCCGCCCGAGTGCGGCCTTGGTTTTGGCTTTGCTTTAGTAGAGGAAATTGCGGATGTCCATTACTGTACTTCGGAATACTTCCTGCAGGCGGGCAGGTAGGGCGATGTGTTCACCAAACCTATCGTCATTAAAGAGGCATTCTCAGACGGTGGCATGAACACAGTCCACAATTTCCGATCACTGCTCAGGGATGTATTCCACAACAAGGCCCTAGACATTCGACCTCTTGGCGCGAAACAGACAGAATCAGTGTCTACATTAGACTTTTTAACGCGACTTGACCACGGGTCAGGAGATAACGCTCTCAACCTCCGTGACTTAGCTAAAGCGCAGCGGCCGGCCTTCTCTATGATGCCGCGGTTTCGTCTGCTCGAGACCCTTGCAGAGAGTTGTTATGGTGAGCTAGGCAAGGAGGTCTGTTCCAGACCTGTTAACGTTGCTAGCTGTGGGTCCTTTAATATCCTCGGTTAACGTGGTGCATTCTCTGGCGCTCATGTCGACTCTCTCGCAGGCACATGGGTCCGTAATCTGGATGGGCTGAAGTACTGGATGATCGTACTATTATCCGACATGGGGAGCGAGGTAAGTACTTTCTACGAGTAAGGAGATAGATAGCTACCCTATAGTAAGGAGCGGCTTATTCTCCTCGAGCAAGATGATGTCCTGCTCATGCCGCCTGGTCCGCCTCAGGTCCATGCTGCTTATTCTCCGCGAACGTGCCTTATATCTAGGGGAATGCTCTAGGACGAGCTCAATATCATCTCGATCCTACATTCGCTGTCGTAGATAGGAGAAAATCAGCAGGCTACAAATGAGTCAGTGGCGTACCAGCTTCCCGACATCATCAAAGCGCTCGAGAACCTCGTAAAAAGTGATAGCGCCAGATTTAGCAGCCAGTATCCACCCGGGACGTTCCAAAGGAAGTTCGAGGACGCTTTACAGACGTACAAAGCTCTCGGGTGTGGTTGCGCCACAGACGATACTAAGATCTGCCCTTGCGACGCTGCCGGCCGCAGATGCACTGCACAGTGTGCTGGACATCCTAAGCTACTAGAAAGCTCCCAATTCGATTGTATGTACGAACAAGCCGAGGAGGATGCTCCGCGCTCGCGAAGGAGGGGAGCCTATAGGCGTGCTTGAAGCTATTATAGGGCTATTGTTATCGTGAGTTGTGTGTTCTATTGGAAAGCACACTTTCGGTATCCATTTCAGCCAAATGATCACGAGTGAAACCATGAGAGAAGGTAATAACCAAGTGTAAGGAGAATGATACTATTAGTCACACGTTTCTATTAGCCTGTTTACTGGTCCCGTACACATCAACGTATTTAGGCGACCTACTTGTGCCTGCGTCTCACTACTCCAATTTTGGAATTAAACCTCACTGGCATCGCGACCCCTCGAGCATCGCAACCTCACGAATTGGATTGTACTAATCCACAGTATTTCTCTGACCTAGGGTTGGACTATCCGCTTTTCAAAGACGCTCTACAGAGATACAGATCACTTGGGTGCATTTGCGGTCTTCGAGAGACTGCGACCTGCACTTGCTACGAGGGCGTACGAAAGTGCACTTCTCAGTGCGCAGGTCATCCAAGGCTACCTCCCGAATCTTCTCAATATGCCTGCATGCACGAAGGAAACCATCATACTCAGGCAATCTCGACACGCGCAAAGGGAGCACAGACTTGTTATCATGTCTAAGCCTGTCGATGGCTGTGTGAGGTCAGACCTTAATAGGACTCTTCTGTGGGCACCGCTGAAGCTAGAGACACGTAGTCGAGTCACAAGGTACAATTTTTGAAATATGCCAATCCCTCCTCTCCCCGGGGTCACTTATTTATCGGAGCGCTTACTAGCTCCCGTATCACAGCGTTACGCCGCACATAGAAGCGAAGCGCGCGTGGTGTTCGTCGAACTTTTAATTAGGAAGTCAAATCCACTGCCGGCGCGCGCGTAGCGTAACGACATTGCCTATGCGCAATATAGCTCGTGCAGAAACAGGGACACGTGCGTTGCGGAGACACAACATAGCTTTACATATTAATTGCGTAAGTGCAGCACTGCGGGAGTTCAGCCGGCCTATGCAATATTGTAGCCCTACAATACTGCATAAGCATAATATCCCATGAGTAGCAATATTGTCTTCCCGTAAGCCTCTAGTGTCGAGAAAGTGCTATATGTTTGCCCCTATTGCGTGCCTGATTTCCACTCCACGCGATACCTTCTACATATTGTGGTAGAGTGTTCCCTGTATGGAGTTCTTTTCCATCGGGATACATAGCCATAGAGTTAGAAACTCCTTGTGAAGATCGCAAGTACAAGGAAAAATGGCCCTACGCACAGCAAGTCCCTATAGATTCGGATACCTTAAGGAGTATAGGCTATACGAACGACTTGGCTTTGTGGGACTTTAGTCTTCGGGGAACGGAAATCCTTGAAGCTTAAAGTTCCCTATGGAACGAGTACCCTACGTCTGCATTTACCCGATGGATCTCGTGCGACTCCCTATGGATTTCAAGTCTATAAGGTGCTAGAGCACTAAGGTGCGCAATCCTGTCATTTTCGAGACATTGCGACATAGTGCTGTAGAGTTTGATAATACGGGGGTATTTTAGAGGTAGATCCGCCGGTGTTTCTAGTGATTAGGGACTCTTAGAGTTATGTAGCCTCAAAAGTGGTGAGCAGGGTCTATATAGCGCAGCTCACCCACGTGCGGTATCTTTTCAGAGTTCCGTGTCAATTGAAGAGTGAGTAAATAACAATGTTGAGGACTTCTGCACTGTGATCAACGACATTGCGGTGCACTAATCAATTGCATTCCTAGGCTATGGAATTTTGGCGTCGATTGTATGCCGGTGTGCGTGCCGATTATAGCGCCGCAAAGTCAGACAACGTGAGGAATACTCCGTCGAGCATACTCCCCACATGCGTCCTGCCAATGCCTTCGCTATTCTTCCGAATCTTCATAATCTCCTTCAAGAATGGCACGGGACTAATGCGGGGGGCGAGAAGCGTTCCTTGTGCTTCGTCGCTAGCTTGGAGGATGAATCCATCTGCAGCCAGAGTGCAGCGGCCGTCAGCTTTCGTCGAGGCCAATCCGAGGAAGTCGCATGCTCTTTAGTAGTCTTCTAGTGAGTTGAAGTACAACTGACCTGCAAACAGATTGAGTTGCGTCAAAAGCGAAGGTCGTACTACCCGTGGCTCCGGAAGTGAAGGAATAGTAAAGAATTGCAGATGATCCAGTGAACGAAAGCCGACATTCCAGCGTGGCTTGTATACATGCAGGACGACCGTCGAGCTCTGGCAGATGTGAGGATAGAGCTGCTGCGCCTCGTGCGGACTGACGACCATCACACAGTCCACAACATTGCTGCTAGCAGGAGCACTCGTTAGTATCCACTCCACGGATCGTTAGTACGCGTCTGACACGTTGGAAGCGCCGGCTTTCTTGACGGTGCGGGCGAAGTCTGCTGTAACAAGGAGGTCCCTTTTTCCTCCAAGCTGCGACACATCGAGAGAGGTTGCAGTTCTAATGCTGGAGAATACCGTGAAGGCTGGCATATAAGCCTCGGAGCAGGGTTCGACCACACCAGTGGACACGAACGTTCTCATGTCGGGATGGATGTGGTGTTCTACGGGATCGACCGCAGGCGGTCGCTGCACTTGTCGCTCTTGCTGTATCTCAGGAGACAACTCCCTTTCTTGCTCCTCTTGCAGTGTGCTGCCGTGGAATTCTAGCTCTTCGAATTGAAGACAACGGTTCGCGATAAGGTTGTTCCTAGGGTTACTTGAACTGGCCAAAGTCGAGAGAGCTGCGGCACTTGCTTTCCTTGGCCGATAACGGGATTCTAAGTCTTGTGCTTCGTCTTCCAGGAATTCAAGTGCCCATTCACGAGCCAAACTCGTCTCGCCAAGATTCTGGGCGCCGTTCTAGAGTGATTCTTGTCGGATAAATCGCTGTCCCTGAACTGCCTATAAGGGCATCATCCGCCGGACTTCGGAGAACGTCTCGCAGATCGACCAGTGAAGAACATCGGAGACGCTGACCTCAGCTCCTTCTCGAGTCGCTGGGCGGCTCTCTAGAATCTTCGTACGGATTTCTTCCGTTACGCAAAAAACTACCGTCTGCCCCTTTCCTAGCTTCCTCATTCTTATGCAAGCTACGACGGTGTTAGTTCTGGCCTGATATATTCCCCGATGTACTCACCCTGTACAAGCCGATCTTTCGTCACGTTCGCCCCAAGCGTTACGGCCGCGCGGTAGTCTTGGGGCAGCCGCAAGTCTGTTCCGCGCGTGTGAGCTTCGTCAAGGAAAACCAGACAAGTCTCGAGTTGATTCGCAAAGGCCGATGTCTGGAGAGGCTCTACAAACCCTTCCCGATTCAAAACCACTATCTCATCGCTGTCGTTGAGAAACACGACTCCACGAGTGCTCTCCGTAGTGTGCATGTTTAGCCAGGTGCGTGCGACTTCCTGGTTGGTCATCTCCAGAATTTGTGCGCCAACGTCGAGGATCACGCGAGGTGGAGGCGTGAAGTTTGAGATCGTCGACAGTAATCGTTCAGCATCGGATAGTTAACGGTCTCCCGCAGGAAGAAAGGCGACGGAATTCTCAGCTTGTAGGAGATAGTCCAATACTAGAGCATTAGTGTGCTGCTGATTCGGAAGATCCAGATACGTGACGTCTAAAGGAAGCAACGCCTGAGAGTTACTTGTTCTACTAAACGCTGTGGTTGGATAGTCCTTAATCTTCCCAATGTCCCATCCTGAAGCAGACAATTTGTGAGGAAACTCTTTCATTTCTTTCGGGAAAACAATGTGCGAGAGGAAGTAGTTGACGACGCGCTTGTTGAAGCGGAGGGCCGGGAACACGAGGGATTTGCACTGCGCTCGGTCTTTTAGGTTGATGCCTTCGAGTTGGCGGAACGTAGGAGGCAGCTTAGGTGCACCTTGGATCCAGGTCTGGAATTCGACATCTCTCTGATTAGTGTCCAGAAGATGGGCGAAAGACGCAAACAGGTGATCGTCCGTTAGACCTCCGTAATAGTAGCACAGTAAGGTCAGAAGGATGACTACGTTAGGGTGGCTAAATTCGGAACGAGAAGTGGGCATATCCTTTGCGCGATAAGGTACCGCCAGTCTGGTGGGTGGAGTGCGGGAGGTGTCGAGCCCATAATTCACACGCCATCGTTTTCGGCCAAATACGAACCCTAGAACACCTCTAGCAAGGAGGCCTCGTAGCAAGAAGAGTGTGGGCCGAATACTTTCCGTAAAAAATCCATTAGGGCCAGAATTCTCGACGAGACCAATCTCTTCGTTGGTCACATCAGGCTTTGTGATGTACGCGAGAACTGCATCCTAAACAGATTGCGGTTGTGTAGCAATCGGAAATCCTAGAAGTCCGGTATCGCAGATTTTCTGGCCGACGATATCTACTAGAGGACCTACTACGTCTGGACGAAGTATTCTGATCCTCGAAAATCGACCTGCGAAGGTCTGCTGGATCTCCAAAGAAGAAGGGACGCTATCGATGATCGAGATCGCGGCGGCATTCACTACATCCAAGATCTGATGGATGCATAACCAGCGATCTGGACTTATGTCGATAGATCGCTACAGGCCCATAGTGTAGATGAGTTCAAATTTGACGCTGAAGTTTTCGTCGCTCTCGTCGACAATATCTCGAGATCTTCTATCGAAGAAACGCTGCGTTTGCACCAGCGACCGCCCTATGGAGTCGTCGCCGAGCGTATATCGCTCGAGACCTATTAATTGAAAGGAGAGTATGTGCTCTAGCTGCATGAGGAGGATGCCGCCACCGGCCATGCACTCTCTGGAGATCCTGTCGACCTCCTCTGCTCCGGCCCTATCGAGCTTGAGGCTACGGGAGATGGGCAGATAGTAAATTTGGCGATTTAGCATGCCGCCAAGCTTGGATATCAGCATCTGTGCCATTTGCTTCGCTTGCGGCTTTCTAACGACGATACGGACAAGTTGAGCTCCATTTGCGAGAGCCGCCGCCACTATCGGCACGATGACGGACGATTTTCCTTCACCCATGTTGAGTTGCATAAACGTATTTCGACGAGATTCAGGACTCCGCATCTCTCTTGCGATCTCCTCTTGGACGTCTCGAATCATGATGTTGCTCTCGACTTCAAGTAGTAAAGACTCAGGATACTGAAGAGGATCCCAGTTACGATGCCCGGTGTTCTGGATTTCGGCCACAACATTACTGCTCCTGCTAGCCCGAGATGCAATGACCATGCGCTTCGCTTTTTGTACGAGGCCCAGGGCAAGCCCGTACGATGTAACACACTCTTTCCATTCGTCCGTCAGCCTTGCCCAGCTATCTCGTCCTAGCTGCTCGAGGAACAGCATGGGACAAATTCTTGGCCACTGCCGAGACTCTACAGTCAATTTGATCCAAGGGTAGGCGGACACCGGATTGACCGCCGCCGTCATGGCGTCAAACATCTGTTGCACTTGCAATCGACAGCACGTCAAGTGAGCGTCTAGGTAGCTGAGAGAGGGGACCTGTCCCGATTCTCGACGGCTTAGTTGCCGCAAGGAATCAAGACTGGCCTTCAGTCTTTCGACGTATTCTCTTTCGTACTGGGAAGAGTTCACTCCCTCACTAAGCTCGGCAACGAACGTTTCGAGCTGTTGGAGCTGGGTGGTCTCGTTCACATTTATTGATATCGGTCGAATTGGTTCGCAGCACTTAAGCAGATGAGGCGCCGGTCTCTAGAACAAATCGGCAATAGCGACGATGCCCGTCTGTCTAGCGTGGCATAGACACGTTCCACTGCCTGCTGAGGTAGATTGACTTAGCTGATCTCGAAGCCGGAGATCGTCTCCACAACAGTTTGGAGGTAGGAAAAGAGCTGTAGGTTGTGGAAGCGGATAATGATGATAATCTTCACGGTAGCCATAGTACCTTCTATCTCCACATCTGGATTTGGACACCGAAAGCCCTCCAGCTACTCGGAATAATAGAAGTGATGGTGGAGTGACTTTCAGCTCGTCGCAGTTGTATAGGAGCACGACAGTTTCAAGTATCGCCTTCTCTATAAGACCAGAGCAAGCCATGGCAGACAACCAAATCACCAGACTATAGTTATTGACGCTCGGACGTTGCTGTCCACTTAGTACCCGGTGCAGAAGGAGTGGTTCAGCGTTTCGTATCGTGGGTCATTCGACCTCGGAATTGGGGTATAGTATCTGGTATCGCTTCGCATGGTGGAGTATTGAGTGACAAAGCCTTCTGCATAGCTCTCCGCTGAATTTACTTATCTGCAAGACTCGAGCAGTCCTACTCTTAGGCTCCGTGAGCTCTTGGCCTTCGTCTTCTTTTTAGGGCATTCAAAGCGATGTTTAGTTATCCTGTTCTTCCTACAATAAGCACGGACGATCAAGTTCGTTATAGAGTGTGATCAATCTTAACATGCTGCTTTTCAGCTCACAGACCGAAAGCCAGAAGTCCAGCTTGCGAGCATTTGGCTTGTTTTCTTCTTGTCCTGGTCGGTGTGCTCAATATCAGGGAGACAGTGTCGTCCCGAGGCCTGGCAAAAGTCATCCAAGTGTGCTGGCATGGATGGGGGTTTGGAAATGATGAGCCAAATGTATTGTAGTGCTGGAGGGTGAATTCATTGGAAAATTTAAATCCCGCGCCGGATTGGAGAGTCATCTTGTACTCAGGCGAGATTGCTGGATGATGCCGAGCTTGCCAAACATAGTATGTTTCAAGGCGCCGTTTCACCGTCAGGGGCCCCTTGATAACGAGCTGGTCACCATATCAGCTAGAAGGCTCTAGAATCCGAGCCGAATTGGCGAATCATCTTGCACACCAGGCGTAATCGCTCAGGGCGCCAAGACTGCTCAAAATAGTACGTTGCGCCGTTTCGAGTCATGGGGCCACTCGGCACCGAGCTGGTCACCGTGTTACAACCTCCTTCGTAATATATATCTGTTTGTGACGCTGCTGCATCCACTACTCGATCGTCCATCTCCGTACAGCCTTATTGTTCATATATGCATATTATTTCCTTTGTCAGTATCTGCTCTAACCTCGACAAATGAAAAACATGCAGCACCGCAATACGCGGTCTCGCCGGCTCCAGTCGAAGGATGCGTCGAAGAATGTTGCGGTCTCGAAGCAGAGAAAGAACAGTGCAAGAGCCAAGCAGACGGGAAGAATGAGATCGCGATTGAGTACGCGCGATGACCGCAATACAGAAGTCTCCGAAGTCGAATCGGGTAAAGCGACAGATGCAGGTGGTGGTCAGGCTAGCAGCGCCTCATCTGAAAGGCAAGACCTTTGGTCTGTAACTGACATTCGGTATTGCATGAAAGACCCCTGCTGAAAGCCACGCTAAGCAGCATCTTGGTAATAGTGATCCAATAGCTGCTCGTCCCGAGCATATGGCCACTACCGCAGTCTCGAGCTATGTCAACAGGCCTCTCGAAGAACCGACGTGGGAAGTGCTTAAAATTGTTGCTAGCGTCCGATCGCATGGGAAGATCTTATACCGAGTGAGATGGGAAGATACGTGGGAGCCGATCGAGAGCTTACGAGGCTGCGGTGATGATGCTATGGCCGAGTTTCATTCCTCCAGTCCTCACGCTCCTTCGCCCTACGATGTTTAACCAATGTTGACTACAGCTGTTAGTCGTCGATACTTCTGCGAATGTACAATAGAATGCAACATGTTTTGATTGGATATTGTCCTAAAAATCGGCGGGACGGCTCTCACCTTATAGCTAAACTGTCTCGTCAACTTTCAGTGGCGTCTGAGGTCCGTACTGCGCCTTCATGCGCGTGTGGACATTGACTAAGTAAGATGTGCTTCTCCCGCTAATGCTTGGTCTCCAGACCTCTGAATGACGGGACCTCGAGCCACGCGTGGCCCTGGGCACGACTCTGCGCACAGGCCATAATATTGCTGTCGAAGTTGGCCTGTGCGTAGGTATGTATGGAGGTCGTGCAAATCCCACCCACAGAGCTGACCCCATGGGCAGTTCGGGTGCAGGTTGCTTCTGGATCTCTCTAGAACGATCGTTGGTAGTCTTCAAACTCGAAACAAGGGTCCCACCAGATAGACGAATCATGTGCGCTGTTCTGATCTTGGCACGGAACACCCAATGAGTCAGCGCCAGACACTGTCCCCTTGACCATCTCGTTTCCGCCCGCCACGCTCTACATCCATCAATCAGTGTTCTTGTTCCTTTCTGACTTTATCAAGACGGTACTAATTGTCAATTAATCACCTGATCTACAGTATGAGCACTCATCTCATTCCATCGGCCGCCGTGTCTGCCTTTAGAGACTTTTCCGGGCTTCCTGTACCTCCCTCGGCGAGTAACAGTAGAACAGAGGAAGCCGCTCCAGCAGGCCAGCGAATCATACGGAAAAGCTCCCGCAAGATAGCCCAAAAGGCAGCTAGTGGTGAGATAGGCGCTCGATTGGACTGTCTGTCAATGGATGAAGTTGAGCGTGTCCTTCGAAAGACTCAACTGCCTGACACAGAGGTGTCTTTGCTGAGTCTGCTACAGAAGCAAGAGACGAATCAAGCCGACGTTGTCAAGCAGATCCTGAATCACATGTCCGATCACGCAGAAGAGCACGCACTGCAAATGGCATTGGTGTGGCGGTACGCAAAAGAGCACGAAGTGTGGAAGAGTTGTACAAATCCAGATTGGCGAACTGAAGACTCGTTCTTAAACAGTCTCGACGGAAACCAGACGGCACGACTATGTATCCAGTTTGGAACGTCGACCGACGTTGCTCGCCGGGGAAAGATCAACATCATCCGGCGAAAATGGGGAGAGGATTGGTACAATCAAGCACGTCAGAGAGACATCTTCCCGCCTGCGGAGCGCGGAGCAGCGAGTCTCTCCAAAAACATGCTTAGACTCCTCGCCAATGCGAGCAGCTCTGTGAGTCTGAGCCAGGCATTGGAATTTCTCGAGCACGCCATTCAAGATCGGACAGCGGTCGGATCACGGGAACTGTTGGGCTGGAAAGCTGCAATGACGACCCATCTTATGCTGGGTGACGTGCAGTTGCTCATAGCGCATGCTGAGGGAGGACGGCCAACGTCTGCCGCAAAAACGTCACAAAAGACACAATCTACAGGGTCAGACGAGGAAACCTTGGAGCTAATTAGCTCGAAGGGAATATCAAGTCTTTCTGCTTTTGGAAACCCAATGTTGAAAGATAAGGCACCTCATACAATTAAAAACGCGAAAACGAAGACGCAGTCGCGTAGTCGGAGGAGAAAAGCGAGGCCACAGACGACAGATGATGTCGAGGAGCTGCAGATCATTCTGCAAGAGGAAGCAGCAAGAAGAGCTGGTAAAGGGAAGTCACAGAGCGTTGCAAACAACGACGGCGACACGCAAGTGACTAGCCAGGAAGGTCGAAGCAGCGACACAGTCACGGCAGCTACGACGTCACATGCAAGCAAGCGGAAAACCATCGAGCCCTTGCGATTGGTTGATGAGACGTCTCGTGAGAAAATAGCTCGGATACGAATGGACCAGGGGCGGTCGATAGTGGACGCCCCCAATGCGCCTCTTGCAGGTGACCATCACAGCGAAATCACAGACGTACCTCAGCAGGAGCTTCCACCGGGTGGCCGGCAGGAGCATTCAACAACTGACGACACCACTAAAAACACATATGAGAGCGACTCGCACGTCGACAATCTCCAGCCAGGGAAGATGGACTCCAATACGACAAGAGACTCTACATTGCAGGGAGATGCCAGACGTCAGAGCTCTACCAATTCTCCTACAGCTGAGTTCGTCGAGTCTGTCGCTGATGGGAGTGCCTTCGCACGTTTGGAACAAGCTACTAGTCCTAGCGAGAAGGAACGGGACCAACCTCTAGGCTTTAACAACCATTGCGCATCATGTGCTGGAAAATGTTCAGTCTGCGAGATACCATCGGGTTTAAATGAATCCGAGCGTCTAGACCTATATCTAGCTGCCCACCGGGCCTTGGAGCTGGAGGGGAAAGCTCCTAACGCCACGGTGCGCAACTGGATCAAGCCTATCCGATACGCAAGTTTGAGGGCAGGTTTACTTCAGGGCCCTGGAGAAGTATGTGTTTTGTCGGCGAACAGCTTCTCATCTGAGGTGACGAAGGGACGTTCTCTAATGCGACCCATCATCCTCCGAGAAATTTTCGATGATGCCGATGAATGGTCCGCGGCGAGGTACGCGGATCAGCTGGATACGGCTTTTGCCGACCTGGAAGTCGACGTCCGCTGGCATCAAGACCCAGAACCAGTAAGGGAAAAGGTCTCTGAAATGAGCCGTCTGTGCCGGTTGTCTTCGCCCACCTTGTTAATAAATCCACCAAACATGCTAAATCTACCAGACCTTACTGGAGCCATCGCGCCAGCCTTTCTTCGACAAGATCGGTTCCGAATATTAGATCTCTTAATCGAGCGCTGCAAGGCAGATGCGATAAACCACTTGGGGAAACAGCTTCATCTGTCACCCTTTGACGTGGGAGGCAGTCGAAGGTTCAATATTCTTGGATGGCCAGGTGCATTCTCTGGCGCTCACGTCGACAGCAATGGAGCGACATGGGTCCGCAATCTCTTTGGACAGAAGCTTTGGATGTTCGTGCCCGAGGAACTGATGACCCCCGCCGATTGGGAAGAACTTGCAAAGGACGGTGATGACTGGGATCCCGGCAAAAAAGCCCGAGCCGTTTTGTTACAGCCGGGAGATGTGTTTGTGATGAGACCTGGTCTTGTCCATGCTGTATACACTCTTGGCGATTCTGGGCCCAGCCTAATGGTAGGTGGATTCTTCTTGGACAACCAGGACCTCATTCACACGCTCCAAACGTTCTACAAAATTGGGAAGAATCAACGCAGTACGAATGAGCCTATTTCCTATCAGTTCGCACACATTATCTGGAGCCTAGAGTGCATTATTCGAAGGAACTCTGCGCCATACTTCTCGACTCCAGAGGATCTAGATGTCTTTACAGACTTAATAAGAAAACTGCGTGCACTCGGCTGCGATTGCTCAGAGTGTGACGAAGAATGCGTGTGTGCGCGTGACGGTCGTCGTTGTACGCCGCTCTGCTTGGTGCACACCTTCGGCGATGTGGGTCTAAGGTCTTGCATGTCTGAAGAGTAACTTTCATTCCGTGTAACATCATGTTACAGCACGCGCTTCCGACTCATGGGCTTGGAGCACATCGAATGGTCCTGAATGGCCCGTCTCTCTCGAAGAACGCCTGCTCGAACGGAGTTCAACAGTGTAACGGAAGACTTCGGCTGCCACCTCAAGCTGAACCGTCATTTAGGTTTTGTGGTTGTGGGAGGACATCATAGACGCGAGGTTCGATGGTGCTTCAGTCGTTCTGGAATTTCTGGACGGAAACGAGTGTCACCAACCTCCAGCAGATAATTACGACACCAATTGACAGTCGAACGGCTGTTACCAAGAGCCTGCAACCTCTGTTCTGTATATCGAGGCATCTTGTCACCCTCAGATCGCATCTGAGGAAACGCGTACTTGACTTGTCCAAACGATTATTGCTGAGCCTTTGTTGCAGGGCTTCAATCCGTATCGAAGTTAGAAAAGCTCTTTCAAGTTCCATCTCCTGAAGTAATCGGGCTCGAGCTCATTTCGTCGGGTGATTATAACTTCGATTTCATAGCTACGATTCTTCAAGATGTGCCATCCACGTCTGGAAAAGGATCGTTTGTTCGCGTTTTTGGCGAGCGGAGTGAATGTTTTCTGACTTTCAGATCCTGCCAGAAGCATGTCTGGCTTTATTACAATACCCATGGAATGACTGCCGTTGCGATCGGCTTCTTTCACTAAGATCATAACCTTCTGATGGACTTTGTGGGTACATAGAGATTGTGCACAAAGAGAACCTCTTGGTGGATAAGCTACGCTTTAGAGACACGCGAAGGTTTACCACAGCAGCGTACTCACATATATCAGACCCTCCAGTCTTGAAGAAAGATGGGGAGTGATATGGTAGTGGACCAAGCCAACAGTCAGTTCATTGGTAAAACGCGATTCTCACACAGTGTGGTTGTACTCCATGCCGTCAAGCCATATGTCATCTCTCTAATCCAATCTCGATCCAAGCTCTTCAAGGTAGGCACAAGCTCGGCAAGCACTTCTTTCAACGCAGCACTCAGCTGCTTCAGACGCTCTCTCTTCTCCACACATTCGTTGAACTCTCCGGCGATCGCATAGAGATCGTCGTCTGTATAGCCAGCTAGTTTCTCCGGCGAAAACGCGTAACATAGGTTCCTTATGAGATGCCGCTCCACGACCTGCCGGCAAACGTTATCGAAGAATCTTTTGCGTGCCACCTGAGCTCGTTAGCCTAGGCAAGGAAAATTAGACTTTCCCTAAACCTTGTAATATGCCTCCAGTGCATCACGGGCTTCATTACATGCTTGATCGTCCATGTTAACCACCATCCGGCTTTGAAGAGACGCGAGAAGTCGCTGAAGTTCTTTGTTGCTGTTACTGATATGCATCCTTCCGCCGTAGTCCTCTGCGGTTGTCTGGTCCATAGCTCTCTTTAAAGCCTTACGAGCTGCATCATTGCGCGCCCTCTGGATGTTGTCTGTATAGTAGTGGTTGTATGTTGGACCTCGTCTTCCCACAGCTTTGTCAATTCTTCATCTGCATCTTTCTTCATGCGCTCAAGCACCGAGAATATGCTTTCACGAAGGGAGCTGCGGGTGTGACTTTCTTCTGCAATATGAGATATCACAATGTCCATGAAAGTCTCGATCGACTCGTGTAGACTCGACAAATGTCCACGAGTCAGCTCGAGCCAGCGACTTGACTGAAGATGAAACAGTTCCGCCAGAAAGACATGGTTAAAGTCTCCGGGCAGCTGGCGGCCACGAGTACTCAAGTAGACCTGGGATGATGGTCAGGTAGTGAAGATGAGGGAAGATCGACGCCAGCTGGACTGCCTACTTTCTTCACCCATGCTTTCATTTCGCGCTCGGAGACAAGGAGCTGACCACTGACATCGTCCACGTCACTGTCTGTATATGCGTCTTCGTTCTCGACAGCTTCCATTGAAGACACAACTTTTCGCTGTTCGCCTTTAGACCTCATCATCTCCGAGTATATCGTATTGGAGGCATGTACAATCGCTCTCAATCGCGTCAGTGGGACCGAATCGCTTGATGTGCCGAGAAATCCAAAGTCGCTGTAATTTTCCTGCAGTGCCGAACGACAGATGCTGTCAAGTTCGCTCAAGCAGCCTCAACTCTTGACGAACTTTGGGCAGCTCCCTTTCAATATGTTTGTCCAGGAGCTCCTGAAGAAATCGTCTTAGATGGTTGATACCAAGACGCGACGGATTAAGATCTTGTCGACTCCACGGTTCTGCGGTTGAAAAGTCACGTTCAATGGCTTCTCGAATCGCAAGTGACAGGGCCTGTTGTGTCTCTTTCGGCGAAGGGTTTTTGAGCAAAAAGAACCCCAGCCCTAACTTCGTAGTATCTTCATTCCTTGAAAGTTGGGCGATACAAGCCTTAGCACCGTCGTTGATCAAGTCCGGCTTCGTGATAACCCCGATCGTGCGTTCCCCCGAAGGGTCAAATTTCTTGCACTTGCTCATCACGGGCTGATTAGCATTTTTTTTCCGGCTTAGATAGACTACGGCAAGAATGATAGATCGGCCATTCGCCATATATGAGTCCACGAGGCTATGTACTGCCGCAATATCCGAATCTGCCTGCTCTTCGCTTCGAACCTGGATGATCCCCTGTAGGTCGACGGCGCTCAAATGCAAGCCCGTCGGTCCATTAACCCGTATTTGGAGCACATCTTGTGCAAATGTCGGGCCAGCGTCATGATCGGAGATTCTACTGAGTCCCAAGACTGCTCCCGCCGCTGCGATAACGTCGGGAAGATCTGAGAACGAATTGAGTGCTCTGTTGAAAGACGAGATTTGATCTTTCCGTTCCTGGCTGCGAGATGAGTGCGGAATGAGGGACACATTGATCATGAGCGCAGTATCTTCGTCCTGCTATACAATCTCGGCTGGGGACCTGGTACACAGGCCATCTTGTCGTGGAAAGGGAAATCCAGTAACAACTTCCAGGGTCGAACTCTTGCCCGCGGAGTTTCTCCACAGACTATAAATTGAGGTAAAGAGATCTGCTAGCTTATTCCTTTCTTTCATGCCGATGAGATAGCCTTCAGCCGAGCCGTAGAGGTAGCCGAAAGCAAATTCGGCAGCGCCAAGCCGACTTCGCCCATGATGGCTTTACTGTTCGTTGTGTCAAATAGCGAATTGAGATGCTGCTGGCGGAATTGGTCGTTGGTGGTAATGGATATAGGCTTATTATTGCGCGGAGAACCGACAGACTCCAAAGTCGCCCTTGAGGCATGTGTTGAAGAGCTCCTAATCCACAGACACTATCTCTATGACTGCAAGTTTGCACAAAGCATTGGCGCCGCCGTGCATGAGGCTGAAACCATTATCGCAGCGTTGTCTTCCGAACATCACCGAACTTATCAAGATAGTAAGATGTGCGAGTGAGCTGGCGCGACTCGACGCCTGCACGAAAGTTCTACGAAATCATGGCCTAACAAATCCTCAAAGAAGGGCGATTCTCAAGAGCTGAAGGTTCAAGGTCCCGTTGGCCCTTCGAGTTTAAACTGCAAGGGCGGGGTGTCCTTCATGGTTGAGAGCACTCAGAATTCGAAAGTCTTTTCTGGAATATGAAACACGCAGGTCCTCTCTCGTTCTCAACTTGGTGCTGTGTAACCGCCAGAGGTAGAATCAGGCTGTCTCCGGCGCCGTGCAAAACGATGCTCGATTTCATTCACCACGTCACGACGCAAGTGTTCGATCACCCGATTCATGACAAACAGGTTGCGTTGTCGGATTTCCTGCGCATCGCAATTGCTTAAAAGTGGCGGGCTCCAGGTTACCCACGCGGTTCCATGTGAAGGTCGCAGCACAAAATTGCCAGGGTGGTATCGCATATACAGACTGCAGCAATAGCATGATGGCTTACTGCATCCAATGTAACGGTCGTTCTGCACAAAAAAGAGTCCTTCTTCGTGGAAGTGTTCGAGCAGAAACACTTCCGAGTGCACGGCAAGAGACAGTCTACCGCTGCTGTAGCTTTCCTGGAAGACTTGATCAAAGTTAAAGGATCGCAGGTCTTCCATTGCTTGGCACAAGTCCGAGACACGCTCCTTTTCATCGGCTTTCAGCATGCGCTTGAGGGCGCTCATCAAATTTGTCTTCGCATCGCTCGGCGGCATGTCTCTGGATGGAGGAAGTGGCAACCATGAAATTGTATGGTCTTGTAGTAGGCTGCGAAAACTGCCAGCGAATCGGACGGCGATGGCGGCCTTCTGATGCCAGCTTCGCAATCGGACGACGAAGTGTTTCACGAGCGACCAATCTGAAGGGCCATCCAAGCGGATCGAAGCTTCGGCGACCCCGTTCAGAGAGTCGAAATGAGCGAAAGCGACCGCCTCGAGACAGAGTTCTTCGGCATCTGACAGTGAAGCCAACTGATCGAGGGCACGCAGCATTTCGCGAGTTTCTGTCAAGGGTCAGGTGACTGTGCAGACTCGTCGATGTTGCATCCCTACCTGTAGAAAGCTCCACGTCCGACGGCACGGCCACTTTGGCGATGTAACGCGAGAGCTCGCGGGCGTAGCGCTTCACTTTATCACCGCTGTGGGATATGGTTGTCACTGCGACAGTACTGATAGCACGCACTTGTTGGGATGGCAATGACAGCTCTTCGTCCTCAAGCAAGCTGAGCATCCAAGTCAAGTGCTGGAGAGCCGCCTCATGCCCACAACATAGCCAGAACCGATTACCTGAGGGCAGCGCCTGGACAGCAACCGAGCTGACCGTCTTGCCACCATGCTCGAAATCGCACAGCCAAGACAAAGCATCTAAAAATCTTCGCCAGCGCCCAAGGAAGTCCGACGACTGCTCGCCGGCAGCGGGTGCAGGACAGCATTGGCCTCTTGCGGGATTCAACATCCATAGAAGTTGCAAAGGTTCGTAGAAACGGTGTAGAAGTCTTTGCATCGCGTCCCGGCGGGGGGGACCCGTTCGTTGAGCCATACTGCAATTGGTGAAGGACAAGGGCCAGAGTCGAGGGCGCTCTCATCTACCTTTAATTGCTGTGACAATATTGTGAACATGTGTGTAGACATATATCAGCCTTGAAGGACATGTCGGCTCGTCACCGGACGGAACCACCGCCGTCTCCCCCGACTCCGCAACGATGTACTGCATTGCATATGGGACAAAACCGAGGCCGCAGACTGACATGGGGTAACTTACCTTGAGCGAAGGCGGTCTGCAGATAGCTATCGCATCCACTAGCGTGGCTTTCACCGACACGGTACAGATGCTGAAAGCAGCTTGATGATCACGATCAAGACAATCCCGTGCGTTTCCTCTTCGCCTTCTGGGGTTTTTGACCTCTCTCCATGGCCGACCGAACGTCGAGGCTGCCGTCCTCGTTATTCGGGCTTGCCTATGTGGATTTGGCCACAGGGCGACCGCCGGGTCTGCGAAAGGCTCTGCAGATTGCTCTACGTCAGTGCGATCATGTTCAGACGCATGTCTGGAAGTGCCTCGCCCGTGCTTTATTCTCCTAACCACTCGAGGACGGTGCGTGATAGCTACATTGAGCAATGGTCGGCGGCAATCCCACGCATCTTGCGGGCGCACTCACTCGACGACGACAAATTTTTGTGCCTCTTGCACGTCTCCCAGGCTGGCTCCCAGGGTCTCTGCCCTCTTACCCGCGTCCTCGCGTCGCGCGACTGATAGGAGACTCCCGGGCCACCATGTTCACTGCAGTACCATCCATCTCGAGCACGTCGGAAGGAAAGAGTATGTTGGAAAGAGGTTTGATACGCTCCGCGCACTGCGCCAAGATATTGTCAACCACTACCTTCGTCGCCACCTAAATGGGGTCAGGTTCACTCACGCGCTTCATCCTCTTCGAACCTTGTGATACGCCTGCATGTAGTCGACGGCCTCGTCGCACGAGTAGAGTTCCGTGTCCGGCTCATTGTGCGTAGACAAGGCCAGGATCAACCTCGCTTCCTTCACCTTCGAGAAAGCGATATTCTGAAGCGTCTCCCCTTCGTGTGTCGTGAATTATCTTGACAGTCTATGGACCAGCTCATTGTGCAGTTTTTGGCCGCGTACGTGGTACCTCGTTTCCGTGAAGTAGCAATTATACGCGATGAGATAACCGGTCGCGTACACGCTGAGAATGGGTATTATGAATTCGTGAGCCTTGGATACCTGTGCATCCAATCCGGGGTCGATCAGGTCGCAGTGCCACACACGACCAGTTGGGAAAGATCAACGTAGTGGTTTGTTCCAAACCATCGGATACTGTCGATGTCGTCCAGAAACTGCGCATCGGCCTGCTGATGGGACATCTGGAAGTCAAGATGATGGATAAGGGAAGCCATGAGTCAGTGCGGCCGTACGTCTGAGGGCCGCCGGACATACAGCGTGTTTGAACCAGCGCGCCGTCCTATAGTTTTGCTTGGGATGCAACTCTGGTCGCGAAATGCGCCAAAAGACCGCACGGTAAGCTTGGGCCACCCCGCGCGCCAAAAGGCGGTGACCCTTTGGGACAGTGTAAAATGAGAGTCCGTTTCCCAGAAGACTTGTTCATCTCACGATCCATATCATTCAATCGTCAACATTCGGCCCCGCAACTACTGGTTTCAATCATCGAGACATGGAACGCGGTCGCCGAGTCGCCAGCATGCTGACCGGCGACCGCAATGAAGTGAGTCCCTCGTTCACTCGAGGTGGTGACGTGTCTGATGCTGTGAAGGACTCGGCCTACCTTCACGACCTACTGTCACAGATTCACGATCTACAGAACGAGCAGAAACAACTTTTTCAAACGGTCCGGTTCCGCGTCCGCAAAGTCAACCAGAACGACGTAGCCCGGTCCCAGAAGTTCGAGGGGTTCCCAGGGACGGACGACAATACGCTGTCACTGCTACGGGATTTCGCCGCCCACTGGTGGGAAAGCCCCCTCAGCGCGTGGGAGCCCTGTCCACCGGCTGTGAGTGCAACTCTCGCTGTTCCAGAGGCATACATTATGGATCTGTATTCCTGTGCGCTAAGGGATGACGCATAGTCCCGAATCGTACAGCGATTGTCCTGCATACTGCTTGTGGAATATCGTGAGCGTTTCCAATGTTTGCCGGTGGAACAGACAGCGCACACCCTGCAGTCAGCACTGTCGTGTGAGTCGTACGAAAAGGCTCTGGGCAGGCTCATGGCAATGATCGAGTGTGGTCACAAATACAAGCTTCTTGAGTATCATCTGGGACATGGCGCTTGTTTCGTTCTGGGAAATCATTTGTCGGAAACTCAGTCAGTCACTACTCCGAACTATCGATCCATGCTAACCTGTCAAGCTGGACGAGGCTGATGACCAGGAGGGAGGTCCCTCGTGTTGTGGAGATCGTGCGGTCGACGACAGTCTCAGAGCTCGCCACTTTCTATGCGCCTTTGAGAGAACGAGTCGTTGAAGCCAAGTTACAACAGCTCACCCGATCCGCGCTCGCCTTGCCCCATGACAACGGGTCACAAGCGCAAGTTATGGGAATGGCGGAGCAGAGCTGCACTTACACTCAAACCACCGCACCGAATGGTTTCGACTTTGAAAGTCTGTTTGGCATGATTTAACGGCCGCGATGAGTCGCTGACTGCTTTCTCTCCTTTTTGTGACAAGCACTCGCATAAGCAACTCCAACTGCCTTTCGTTCGCTATCCGCAAGTAGCTATTGCACACATGCCCTGAATACAACGGCCATTACAAGTTTTGTGCCCTGGGCCGGAGGCCCGTTTCAAATGTGGGACAGATGAATCAGCCAACAACCTTTGATCATCTGTGATCAGTACCACTCGCACGTCCTGAATCTAGTGCCCCTTGTCGATGGATAAAAGGCCCCGGGCTACACTCAGTGGATTCGCTTTCAGCCCATGTCCAGTCGAAACCACAGCAACAATATGACCAGATCCAAGTCAAAGAGGAAGCGCATGAACGCCTTCATCGATGACCAACTTGCCGAGGCGATGGCGACGTTCCAAATTCATTACGGCCGCGAGGAGACACGGCTCGAAAAGTGGCACCAACTCTGCAACGATTGTGGTGTGCAACCCGCCTCTTCAATCACTAAATGCAAAAGTGTAAGCTGTTACCTGCTCAGTAAATCGTCAGCGACTAATATGTGCAGGCCCTTCGTGCTGTGGCGGTCAACATTTGGGATTTAATCAAGGCACGTGAGACCGGGAATCTGCCTGTTCGCACGTTCAGGAGTAAGGCAGAGCTTCGTGTGGACCTTTATAGACCGGGCAGACGCTTTCCCCTAAGCAGAGTGAAAGCATCAGAAGACAACAAATTGTTGCGTGCGTTGCTTGTAACAATTCAGTAGGCCAATGCCAGCAAATCGTCGCTAGGCGGCTGCCGTTACCTTGCACTCAAGCTTGGTCACATGAAGAAATGTCGTCAGAGAAATTCACCGCACGCAAAGCGGAACGCAGTGAAGGATGGGCATACGGGGGATTCAAGCGAAATGCGAGACCACCATGCGAGAGTATCATGCAAGAAGCTTTGGTCTTATTGGCTGGTCCTTCGATTTTGAATTCGGCGCAGTATGACACCACATATTCTCCTCAGTCCTGTTTTAGAGACACATTCTTCCCAAATCCGTTTCAAGTCACCCTGCGCCGGAGCCTTCTCCATGCAACCGACGGAACATGGAGGAAAGCGCATCGTATTAACCCTGGTACAGCGCCAAACCTGCGCTCTGGCTCAACTATTCAATGCGCCGGGAATCATCACCTCTGCTATCTCATCCACTGGCCGCGTCTCAGGACGACTGGCTGCACAACGAGCATCTACCAATGGCTAATGCATGCAATGCTTTCTACTGCGCACCGGCTCCCCCTACCAACATGAAGCTCAGAAAAGAAGTGGTTCAATCGCGGTGGTCGAAGTCTTATCTACGGCCCAACCGAACCAAGGCTGTTCGAAGTCTTTTACCCGATCTCGCTATCACTGGTCAGAGAGCAGCATAAAAAGTCTTCACTAGATCTTTTGGGCCTCCATCTTCACCATCGCTTTTTCACAGACTTCGCAATGACTGCATCATCCATAGATACCGTGGCGCCTGCACCTGCGCTTCACATTACAGACTCGCTGGAAGAGTTCCAATCAGAGGAGCAACGACAGGTGCTCGATACCGTCGCCCAGATTCGCAAATGTGGCTTAGATGCGATCTTACCTCTTCCACAGATTGCTGTCTGCGGAAATCAGTCTGCTGGCAAGAGTTCCGTCCTGGAGGCCCTTACGGAGATCCCATTCCCTCGTAACGACAACCTTTGCACTCGTTTCGCCACCGAGATCACTCTTCGCCGGGGTATTACTGAGTCCCTGCGCCTTACCATTATCCCGGACGGCAATCGACCAGCCGATGAGAAAACTTCGATCTCCTCGTTCTCTGAGACCATCGTGGACTTTACCGAATTGCCCGATATCATGTCCAAGGCTGCGGAAGCTATGGGAATCACCTCTGTCGCCAACAGCTCCTCCCAAACTTCATCCAATCAAGCGTTTGCAAGAGATGTCCTGAGCTTCGAGATAGAGGGTCCAACTCGCCCGCAGTTGACTGTTGTCGATGTGCCCGGCCTTATCCAAAATGTGACCAAAGGCGTCACGGAACAGGACAGACAGATGGTGGCAGAGATCACCGACTTTTACATCAGGCAGGAACGGACGATTTGCCTAGCTGTCATACAGGCCACGGACGATTACGCGAACCAACCTATCCTGACAAAGGTCCGAGAAGTTGATCCAGAGGGCAGCCGCACCCTCGGTATTATTACGAAACCGGACCGATTGAACCACAACTCGGAGAGCGAGGCGGCGTACCTGGCTCTAGCTCGCAACGAGGATGTGTTCTTCAAGCTAGGGTGGCATGTTGTAAAGAATCGCAAGTTTGAGGAGGCCTCTTTTTCAATCGAGGAAAGGAATGCATCTGAAGCTGCCTTTTTCCGCAATTCCAACTTCAATGCCATCCCGAACGAATGCCGGGGAATCGACGCCCTCCGTTCGCGATTGAGTGGGCTTTTGTTTGAACATATCAAACGCGAGCTTCCCAATCTACGGCGAGATCTAGACATCGCCCTTGCGGAAACCACAACACAACTTGACCGGTTGGGCTCTACTCGCGCTACCGCTGGGGAATGTCGCAATTATTTAACAACGCTGAGCTTGAGGTTTCTCGAAACCACCAGAGCGGCTATCGATGGCCACTACGAAGGAGACTATTTCCAAGACTTTACTGATGATGGGTTCGACATTGCGTCACCACAATCAGTGAAGCGGCTTCGTGCTGCGATTCAGCATGTGAATCGAGACTTTGCGGAGACGATGCGACGAAAAGGTCCGAAATACATTGTATCCACGGAAGATCCTCTCGACGACGCGTCCAAAAGTTCGCTCAAAGCAAATGGTATGGCAAAGCTCTCTCGTCAGGAAGCTCTCGCTTGGGTTGCGCGAGTTTTGGTCCGATCTCGTGGGAAAGAACCTATCGGGAATTACAACCCGCTCATTATTGGTGAGCTGTTTTGGGAACTATCATCCAAATGGGAAGTGCTAGCGACTGACCACGTCGATACCGTGGCCGATCTTTGTAGCAGTTTCACCGACACATTGCTGGAAGAGACGTGTCCCCGCGACATTCAAGCTCGTCTCGCCGCCTTGAAGATTACGGAAGGGTTGCAGGAACGCAAAGCGAGGGCAATGGCAGAGCTGAGTAGTATTGTTGAGGACAAGCAAGACTTCCCCATGGTCTATAATCACTACTACACCGACAACGTACAAAAGGCTCGGCAGAAGAGGATGGAGAAAAATTTCGGGAAATCGATTGAGGCGGCAACCTCTCATCACCATCTTCCTAATTGCAATTCGAATCATACATCTGCTACTGTCGATATCGACGTTGCACTGCGGAACTTCCATGGCAACACTGAGCGTGATATGGAGAAACACAGTTGCGAAGAAGCGCTAGACTGCTTGCTCTCCATGTATAAGGTAATCGACGAAGCTTGTGCTTTTTGACTTCTAGCGCTAATGACCGCATCTTAGACCCAACAGAAGACTTTTGTGGCCAACGTCACTTCGCAAGTCATCGGACGGCATATGTTGCGCAACTTGGACAAGCTCTTTACTCCCTTGGACGTGAATGGTTTATCTGATGAGGATGTGATGAAGGTAGCAGCAGAGCCAGCATCCACCAGGAGGCAAAGAGACTTCTTGCTCGACAGACAGCAGAAGCTCATCAGTGGCAGGGACATCTTTCGAGGAGTCATGAGTCGCATAAAGTAAGCGTTCAATTCGTCGTCTTGCCAAGACCATCGTCCTATCTGCAAGCAGATGCCCGGGCCAATAGCGGCTGCGCAATGATGATTATGCGAGAACGTGCTTCAAGAAGTGGAACGTGTGCAGAGAGCGATGCCCTCGTTGCGCAGTGGAAGGCGATACCACTGTTGTCCGGCAAGTGCCTTCCCTTCGCATTATTCTTCGCATCATAGGGCACCCTTTATGTTGCCGCTTGTGCGCATTCCGGCAAGACAAAATTGGTTGACGAAGCGCGAAGAACATTGACAAGTCCATTCATTGATATCCTTTGTCCTCGCAGCGTTGTTTTGTTCCAAGAATACATTGTGTCTCACAACGACTGGTTGCCGTCCAAGACACATGCCCAATTGAAGGAAGAGCTGTTGCAACGACTGTCTCAGCGGAGTTGACTCTGTGAATGGTCGTGGTACCCAAGAAGCCGTCTCTCGCTACTCAGACTTCTGCATGACTCGATGCAGCAGCGAACTTCGTCACGAACTGGTGGTCGACAGCTAACAATTGGAGCCTTGTGGTCGTTGCTTAATCAGAGCTCTCGAATACGAAGACAACTCAGATCATGTCATGGAGAACACGTTTGCTTAGCGTGGTTGTACCTCGCATCTACTGGGTCTTCACGACACTCCAGCGTGAGACTGCAGACTTCCTGTAAGCAGGTGGTGGACTCACATCTGTCCCGGAGCCCCTGTAAGCGTTTGATAGGAAACGTTCCAAGGCAAACGACGCGGTCAATTCGGCAGCTAGATTCGCGCATAAGCACCTTATGCAGAGCAAGATTTCGATGTTGTGGCGGTCCTAGGAGGTGGGTGGAGACCATACATTTTGAAGCGTCGCGGGCAGTCGTACTGTGTTAAGAGTTTTGCCTACATTGAAGGGTTCGCTACGATTCGAAGTGAAGCCAGCAAGCTGAAAAGTCGTGAGAGTATGCCTTCGATAGCAAATAGAAAGGAGGATGCGACGATAACGATTGACAGCAAAGGCTCTCACCGACACAAGCTGATGCTTGTAGGACGCTGCTTCATCGTTTGAAGCACTCGAATATGGCTTTCAGTTTCAGCACCCCCACCGAGGATACAGAGGCCCACGAGCGTGGTGTCAAAGATCTTGCTAAGCTAATCGGCCACAACAACCTGGCGAGCATCGAAGAGTCACACCAGATACGTCACGCAGCCGCAAGGCATTGTTCATGTGCGCCCAGAAGGAGCCGTCCGCGCTCAAACAATGTTCTCTCGACGCCTCCTTGCTGCATGCTGGGTCGAATCGGCTGGCTTAGCCGCTAATCGAAATTCTCCACGGCGCTCACCGGTCGAATGTAGAAGAGCTTCTGGACGGACCGGTGAAGGTGTGCTCTTCGTCCACGATCACATCCTTCGCATCGGATGTTGGGTAATGATTTGAAAGCGCACAGCACCATGTGCAGACGATCAATTCGCTACTCCCCCAAACTGCTGTCGTGGCGGATAATATTTTGACTTGACGATGTGCTCACTACATGCTACAAGGCCATGTCGACGTTGATTTCACCAAACGTCACATACGAGGTGTAGTCTGTTGAAGGTTGTCGGGAAAGCGGGTCCAGACCACTATAGAGCCACTAGAAGATATAAAGGAGTGGAAGCACCTAGCAGTAAGATACACAGCTCAATCAACCCTTTTCTTACCAAAATCACCATTGTCGCTGACTAATGGTCTTGTGAGCATCTCAGATTCTTAAATGGTATATCAAAATCACCAAGCCTTATGAGGAACAACGTAATCAGCGGAAGATGCGGCTCTTGAACACATCTTCTGGAGAATTTAAGGAATTTGAAGAACCTCCTTACCCCAAGTACGGAATTTTGTCCCATCGATAGGCTCATGATTCGCAGGAGGTGTCTTTGCATGATTTCCGAGCTCAGCTGAAGTTGAATACATCTGGACATCGAAAGGTTCATCGTTTTCTGGACGTGGTCGCAGCCGATGGGTTGTCATGGGCTTGGGTTGATACTTGTTGCATTGACAAGACATCAAGTGCCGAGCTGTCCGAAGCTATCATCTCCATGTTCTCATGGTATCAAAAAGCAGAAAAATGCTACGCCTACTTGGATGACGTCGGCGACGAGAGGACATGGAGGGAAAGCCTTTGGTGGAAACGGGGATGGACACTACAAGAGCTGATAGCGCCGGCGACTGTCACATTCTATGATTCTCATTGGCACATGATCGGAACTAAGGCTCAATGGGCAGATGGGATAGAGAAGATTACAAGAATACCCGCAGAGGTTCTCACAGGTCGAAGCTCATAGACACAGTGGACAGTAGCGCAAAGACTATCTTGGGCTGCAGGTCGCCAGACGAAAAAGATCGAAGATCGAGCATATTCTTTGCTTGGTCTGTTTAGAATCAACATGTCACCCTTGTACGGCGAAGGACATAAAGCATTCTGCAGACTGCAACTTGAGATCTTGCAAAAATATCCGGACGACTCGATCCTATCGTGGGCAACAAAACATTGCCATGGTCCAGAAAATGTACTGGCGAGATCACCAGACGATTTCCAAGGCTGCCTGCACATGCAACCAGTTTCACTGCTTCGTCGCGATCCGCCAATGTTTAGCCCTCCTCGGGTAACAAGTTGGGGAATTGAACTACGAGCGAATGCTCACAAGTTGCGGCCCCTCCCTGAATATCGAAGTATCAATGTCGACAATCAACAGCATCGTTTCTTGTGGGCTTTGAGGATGATGGTAGCCTGGAAAGGCCAATTTGAGGAGCTTCCGTGCATCTTGATATTGGCACAAAGTCATCCGGCTCGGTATAACTACCGCCGTCTGGAGTGTCTCCATTCTACGTGGGGGGTAGCGCGTGCACATCTGCGGAAGACTTATCGAGTTGATATTCTTGAGTCCGATACTGTTTTTTATCTGCAATTCGACGATGATCTCGACTCATGAATAGAAGGTTGTACTGGAGGAATGACAGACTCTATCCTTCAGCGAGATATTTAACCAGATTTCCACCTAAAGATCGTCCATCTTCGTCCCCCCTAATTGGCCTTGATCTCCGCCTCTATGTTTTTGACTGCGATTGCAGTCTCTCGCGCTGCCTCCTAGGACTATGTCCGCATTACAGCCAGAGCTTCCCAGGTCTCTGCCATGTCGACGACTCTACGCAGCTCGTGGATCAATTTTACAGCAAGTCGCTCTCTGGCTAATGCGATTGAAAGTTTGTTTTCACCTCGAGTTAAGTTTCACTTATGTGGAGACTTGTTGTTGTTCGTGTTTTCGTCTTCGTTGTTTCCACCGCGTGACTCCTATCGCAAAGTGTTTAGATTGATTATTAGATAAACAACAGGATACAGGCTGCTCATATGTCCGCAGCCTTGTCTATAGAGTGGAATGGGAGTGTTTCAAACGTGCCTTTTAGTGTCATTGCTAGTTCGATCACTGCAAGAACATATGTATGTGGTGAAGCGTTCGTCTTGGCTTCTTATTTCTTGTCAACACTATAAGCCAGTTTCACCATTCGGGCATGTCATACAAGAATATCTGCTCGACACGATTGGAGGCAGTTTTGAGTCGACTAAGAGAGTAAGTCTCTCGGGGCTGCAGGGTCTTACAGGTATGTAATGTTGATAGACATCGGGCTATAGAGTTCAATAATTTGTGTGGGGTTTGGAGGATATGGAGATAAAGTCCATCAGGAATTAGAGCGAGTAGGGATTTTTAAGCTTTAAGGTTTGTAAACCCGATGGGAACGTAACCACACGGGAAAGTGACCTTAAAGCCTAAAAGTCCCTACGCGCTGAAAGACCCGGTGGACTTTGCTCTATATCTCGTAGTAACCCACACAAATTGCTAATCTCTATAGCCCCACCTCTATCAAATGAGAAAATCCTTATTGATTTCGAAGCCTTATGTTCCACAGCCCTATGGAGTCGGTGTTCCTCGTGGAGTTCAACACCTTAAAGTCTGCACCTGAGAAGCCAATCCTGCGTAATAACGACCTAACGTATAGATGACATCGGTGCGAACGCCACGTACACCACAAGTTACGGGCAACGCATTTACCTCTATTCCCTCACTCCAGCATCCCAAGGTATCCAAAAATTGTGATCCCCAGACTCGGGCTTGGATGATGACTCACTGGTGCGGCGTTTGAGCGGATTACGAAACACGGCCGGCGCCTGCAGAGACGTTCGCATGGGCCAGCATCCCTCACTCCCAACATCCCCTACTTCAGCATCCCTCACTCCTCACTCATGCTGGAGTGAGGGATGCTGGAGTAGGGGATGTGGGTCTGGGAGTGAGGGATTCTGGAGTGAGGGATTTGGAGTAAGGGATTCTGGAGTGAGGGATTCTGGAGTGAGGGATTCTGGAGTGAGGGATTCTGGAGTGAGGGATTCTGGAGTGAGGAATTCTGGAGTGAGGGATTCTGGAGTGAGGGATTCTGGAGTGAGGGACGCTGGCTTGGCTGGCTGTAATGCGTGCGGACGAGTTGCATGGCTTGAGTCATTGAGTCATTACTGATTGCGTCCTTAGATGAAGCTCTTTGTGGCCATAGTGATGCAGGTCTGAGGCTCAATGTTCGCTCCAACGAGCAAGCGAATGCGGCAAAGAAAGGCTTTTCCGACTGAATGGTTGAAACTCGTGTGGTTTCTCTCTTCACATGGCGTATTTTCTGTAATTGAACGGCGCTAAGCATAGTGTTGAGTTGGGCGGGGTAGTCAACGAATACTCGGCGGCTGTGACGAAGTCGCAGTAAGAGCTGCATGAGCGCTTGCACTCCACTAGCTCACTGGCTGTAGGCTAGACTGGCTTTCGCCAATTTCTTAAGCTAATACAGTACTATTGATGAAGCACTATTAGACTGAAAGGGGAGCGACTAGAGGCGACCTATTACTCGCCAGAGAGCATCAAAAGGAGGACTCGGAGACGCACGCGGTTTTCGAGAAGGATTTCGAGAGGGATTTCGAGAGGGTTTTGGGAGGGTTTTCGGGAGGGTTTTCGGGAGGGTTTCGGGAGCAAAATCTTTGGAGTCCACTCGCCGCCAATCACTTCGATAGCTGGCTGTCGAGATCAAGGGCAGGCTATGCTAAAGTTAAATAAGAAGACAACCACGGCATCCTTCCTGCTAAAGACTACTTTTCCATGTTTCCAACCCTTCCCATGTCGACACGCCGTACCCTATCGTCCCCAACTTCCGAGAATGGACATCTCCGTAAGAACTATCCCTCCGACAACCTACGCTTCCGCAGTGCTGGTCGGCACCGGTAATATATCCAACTCAATACCTCGATAACGTCAAAGCGCGACACGGCTCCTGCTTGACCGGCTACACTGTCTCCACCGAGATTGCACATATCATCTCAACCGCCGAGAGGCAATAGGCGAGTAATAATAGTATGGAGACATATCGCCTTCCAACCACGTCGTCCACGAAAGACGTAGTTGGATCAACGGAGGATATGTTTGCTGCCCCGTCAGTCGTCTTAGTATGAAGGCCCATTTTCGAAAAGCGGCGGTGTTGTTCTCGTCTGTCTCACCTGTACCAGCGCTTCCGTCGACGTAATTGCGTGCGGTTGAGGACAGCACAGACTTCGCCTCTGATGCCCATTTGGCAATGTCGAAGGTGATTGGAGGTTTTCTGTATTGCAGGCCTTTCTGGAAAACCTCAACCTCATAATCGAGTGGATGATAGTCAACCTTTTGGGAGGGTGCCGGTGCCGTCATATTGCCTAGCTCGTTGGTCGACGCTTGCTGCAGACACAGGTCTTGGACTGTACGATGATATTTACCACTTCAAGTTCCGACATCTTCAAACTCTTTTACGTTCGCAATAGTGAGATAGTTTGACCGGGATGCCACGGTGCGGCATGCGTAAAACGCCGTCAACGTCGATTTCCATGCTCGCCCATGCTCCACTGGGGAAGGAGATCTATACGGCAGGCCGACTGCTGAATTCGAGCAGACTCGGTACCGATCGGCGACCACAGCGAGGGCTTAGAAACTGCTACGCAGAGAGCATTCCTGGGTTCCTGGGTGGATCTCATCACCCCCTTGCCTGGCGTGGTTCTCTGTATCACCATTTGTGAAAGCTGAAGCTACAGCAGTGTACTGTACAGCACTAAATCCGAAGCGACAAATCTGTCATACGGTTTATCGCTGACGCGGCGAGTCGGGACTCGCCGAGGATGCAGAGTTCGCACACGCTGGATTTGTCCACTAGCCGCCTTACAAATTGGTGAAACCCGCAATAGGCATCTCACCTACCGCATCAAGATTAGAGCGAATGGCTAGCGAAGCTCGGTTAGAACAGGATCGTGCCACGGTCGTGCCGTGGATTAAGTACACAGTTTGCCGGCTTTTCGAACGGAGTCAACATCAGTAATGCAGCGGACGAAGCAAGCTCTAGCGAGCAGGTGAAATAGCTTGCGCATTTGAGCTAGAGACTGGATTCTTAGAGTCCTTAGACAATACTGGCTACACCGTGGACTTTAGACCCGCACTCATGGATAGATTTCGGATCCGAATGATTTGGAGAAGTAGAGCTCGGGAAAAGCCGAGTCGAGAACCAAACGCTGAAGCACTCCAAGCTTTCGCGATCTTTAATTTGGTCAACAAGATACACAGCATCACCAACATCAACCCTCGAGACCACCACCTAGCATCGATTACACTATATCCATGTCAGACACGTTGAGCGTGCTCGCTTGGCTGGTTTGCATCGGGACCCTACGTGCGCGCGGCCTAGCGCACACCGGCGAAGACCGACCCGCCAGCTCTATTCCGCTGCCGACAGCTTGCGGCCGTCATGCTTGACCGGTCCTACCACAGTGGACAAATGGTCTTGACAGTTTACGCGCCGGGAAACCCTGGAGGACTGCGCGAAGTACATCTTCGTCAGGTATGTAGGGGCCTTCATTTCTAGGCAGTGGCAGAGTGCTTTGCGCCTTGCAACATTTCTCGAGGAGGACTTACACTTCAGCTGGTAAAGACCCCTCATTTCGTGTGCTCCCACACCATACGTGAAACCGATCAAAACACACCCTCTCACCCTCTTCTCCTCTTTGCAGGTCTGTTGCCGCCAACAGGATGACCACGGCAGTGTTGAGCCTCTACTCTGAATTGCCACTCATGGGCTCACAGGTTCGCATCTTGACGGTCGAGCCTGGGGAGTATGGGGAGACAGCACGGACAAAACTGCGTGTTGGCTACCTGCTCCACGAATCAGGGGCGCTCTTACTTGGAGACACTTATCCTGTCCAATATCAAGCGCTGTCATATCGTTGGGGATCTGAAGGAGAGCCCACAGTCGAGATTTCCTGCAACTACTAGTCACTATTTATCGGAGAGTTAGCATTTCAAGCATTGGCACATCTCAGGCACGACTGGCAGCCGGTGAATGTCTGGATCGACGCCATCTGTATCAATCAAGAAGATTTCATGGAAAAGGCTGTTCAGGTCCCTCGAATGCGCGACATCTATGCGAATGCTGAAGAAGTAGTCGTATGGCTGGGACAGGGAGACCAGCAGATTCGAGACCTTCTTGACCGACTAGCACACACCCCAGACACGGCGACAGCTCGAAAGGCCGCTGAGATAGATGGACTAGGCGACCAGTTGGAGGACCTGTGCGTTTGCTCTGCTTCAGGTCCGAAAACTTCAGAGGAGCTCGTTAAAAGCATGCAAGCTCTGCTGTGCTTTCTATGGTTTAGTCGAGTGTGGTGTAAACAGGAAATCTGGGCAGCTCGCAAAGCATCGCTACATTATGAAGACATTTCATGCCAATGGCAAAACTTCGACGTCAGTTTCTTCGAACGGATGGTTGCGAGTACTACTGGAGACGTTCAAAGTGTTCCGGGCATAATAGCGGCTAGGCAGGGCCTTGCACGAATTCGAAATCAACTTGTGAGAGCCGACAGTGCAACACTTGCAAGCGTGAGAGACAAAGACAAGTGCAACCACTACCTCAGCGAAGATTGCAAGCTGGATATAGTCAACGTCATACGTCGATGCTATAGCAGTCAATGCAAAGACGAGAGAGATCATGTATACGGCCTCATGGGGATGTCTTCGATAAACACATATATCCACGAAGAGGACGATAAGAGGAACGAAATGCTATCTGTGGACTATTCACAAGATCAGAGCACGGCCAAGACTTATGAGGACTTGGCCCGCTATGTCATCGGCCGCGATGATAGGCTCTCCATCGTGTTCTTAAAGGGAATTTTTGATCACGAGCAGCCAAGAGGTAAATGCACTGAACAGCCGTTGCCGACCTGGGTGCCAGACTGGGGACGTGACTACGGGTCGTTGAAATGGTTGACATCAAGGGTTGCAAAACCTTTGAGCGAAGAACAACTGCCGCTGGTGTAACAAGGCTCTTCAATCCCTCAAGGAACGCAGTCCTTAGTCGGCGTCAGATTCCCGCTGCTCCTCTGTGGATACCGGATAGGAACCTTCAGCGGCGAGACCCTTTCATCAGAGTGTTCATCATCAAGTAACCGGTTGAGACATGCTAAGATCGTACACATGAGGACCGGCGTTCTTTCTTTGGCTAAACCGCTGTGTGGGCGCCTGATTGAAAGACTGCCGGGCAACCTGTATCCAGACCTCTCGCACGATGGCGTCTTGAGTTCAGAAATGGTGTGGGCTGTGCCGAAGAGGGCCATGGCCGGCGACATAGCGATTGCTGTCCATGGAGCATATGCGCCTTTATTGGTGCGACAGTCCATGGACAATGTTGCTCAATTTACACTGATCGGGCCCACCGTGCTCCCGGATGATGCTTACCCGTTCACTCATGACGAAAAGGCTGGAGCATCCTTGACCCAAAAGCGCTCCCCACACATTCAACGGCTCTGCGCTTCTGGCAAAGATGTCACTGATCATCTCAGAGAAATCCTCCAAGTTCGTAGGGGTTAAAGGCGAACATTTCGAGATCATTTAGGAGAGCATGTGACAACTCTCCGACGAATGGGCTGGTCAACGGCTCTTCGTCGCAGCTAGTCTGCCGCAAGGGATGCTAGTAGAGCTGCCCCGCTTGTCTGCATCTTGCGCTGTTAATGCATCTGCCGCATGTCTGTCAGGCAGAACGTTGTGAGTGGCCGGTGGTCTCACCGGTCATCGATCCTTGCGAAGGCGTATCTCGCATCCTTGGTCAGGGAGTTTGATTAGGCTCCAGATGCATAGACCGGTGAAAGGTCTAACCAGTCAACTCCAGTTGCAACCCTTCATCTCGTCTCAGACTCCTGTCAAAGACCAAGCAACACCGTCGAAGCACGTACTAGGAGACATGTCGATCGATCTTCACCTCTGCTGAACAGGAGCGTCTGTGGTGAAGAATATGGGCACCTACTCAAAGGACCGCGTTTCCAGGTTCCGTCCTTGACCCGCTCTGGGACTGTCGAGGTTGTAGGGATTGATATACTTGGGCTCCATGCGTCTCAAATCCGACCCGCTAAATACAGATTGTTCGATTGGTTCCTTCCACATCCATTGAGGTAACTTCGCGGCCCTCGATTTCTGGACTAGCACCACAGGCCACACACGATCCACTATTCAACACGACGTACTGGCGATCTGCCGCAGCTCCCCAGCTCCTGAGACCAATCACTTAGCGCAGGAGAGCTTTGACGGTGCTCTTTCGCAGTCCAATAATAGAAGACCTCTGACTTCCTAGCCACTGTGGGAGACTCTTATGTCGAAGTTCCACCCACAGACACCATCCGCTGCATCTATAGCCACCTCTACACAAGAAATGCAAAAGATGAACTCCTCTGTCTCTCGCATTCCTATCCCGTCTGAGCTCGACGACGACGTCGACAATGTTGATCTTCCTACCGGACACATGTGGGCCTATCCATGCAAGCTCTCTTCGTGTCCGGACTACGGCAAGTCCTGGATCCTGCGAAGCAATTTCCTCCTACATTTGCAAGAGCGAGAGGCACACAGTTCCTCAGCAACGACACCTGCTGCACGCCGTGAAATCGAGATAGACTGGCGATATATCACCGATCCCTATCTGCCACCACGGGCTGCTCCAAACTTTCGTTGTCGAGAGGATCCTGCCGAGCAAATCTGGACATATAGCTTCAAAGATGATTGTGGGAACGTGATATCAGGGGAGGGCACACTGGAGCAAATGAGTGACCATAAGGCCTCAACGAAGAACCCAAATGGAATCTAGAAGTGCCGCCGAATCAATAAGCACCTCCGTGGTTGATCGGACGTTGGTTTTCTGGAAGCGGAATGCTGTCGGCTTTGACGATGTGGATGGTTTCCTAATCTCGCACGAGACTCTTGACGGGTCCTGCTCTTTGCTGAAAGGATAAGAATTAGACCATGAAAGCTAAAGAGTATAGTGTCGGTAAGCGGCATGCTGCGACGCTGCTGGAGAAGGACCTCCTCGAGGTCACGATTCTGCGCTTTATGTTTATACGCCTGAAGACGATTTTAAAGTGCTGAAGAATAAATGCGAGCATTACCCCGAGCGGCAAGAAGGCGGCGGTGGCGACAGCAGTATACGAGATATACAGAACAGGGAAACAGAAATCGAACCAAGAGAGCAAGATCTTGAGCATAAAGAGCGAGAAGTGCATACCCTAACAACTCGTAACTTATCTGTCATGTAAAGCTATCTGCCTGTGATGCCCAGAATACTTCGCGTCAGCCCTCACAGATTCTCAAGCCCATCTAGCCGCGCACAGCTTGCTATGCAACGCTGAATATTTTCAGACTGTGTATAGATGACAGTGAAACAATGCAGTCGCGGCGCTTGGCCAGGCGCTTGGGCACCGTACAGCGACCGCCTTTAAGCGCCCGAGCGCCCTCTCGACGCCCTGCAGGGGTTCATCCAGATATGTCTTTTCTTAGGTGCTGACAGTGGAGACAAAGCGAGCGTGTCAACGCCAGCAGTAAGAGGAATACAGAAGTGGTCGCCACTGCATCGCAGTCCTGCAGTGTATTACCCGTGCCTCTAAGCCCATGGACTCCCGCGCTTGCACGCAGCAGCTGCAAATCTCTGATGCACTGTATATGCGTGCGACGCTCTCGACACGAACTCCTTCAATCAATGCTTGACACGTTTGCACCATAAGTAGCCAAAGCAGGCACGCCGCACGCATGCGCTGGCGTTGTTCCTGTCTGATCGCCACTATAGCCATCGGAAGGCTTGACGTCAGTGGGAGACACGTCGAGACGCGGGTGAGAGATTCGACGAGTCTGAGCGACCTACTTATCTTCTCCGGGATTTCAACGGAGAGGTAGCAGAGACGCTCCTTTCATTCTATTTTGCGGCCTTGGACACAAGCAGCAGTGCGCTCACCTAGCTCTTCCAGCTTGTAGCCGACCATCCGGAATGGCTTGAGCGCATTCGCAAGGAAAACCTCTACGTGCGAGGCGGGCAAAGGAGCAAGGCAATGGACATGGATATGCTGGACCGCATGAAGGTGACTCGAGCTGTCGTAAAGGAAGCCCTGCGACTTCGTACACCAGCCATTGCGCTGCCTCGAACCGTCAAGAAGGACTTCCCGCTCACGCCTGGATTTATAGCTAAGAGGGGTCAGTTGCTCATGCCGTCGGTCTGGAAGATCACGCATGATCCTGTTGCCTATCCTGACCCAGATGCATTCAAGCCAGAGAGATGGCTCTTCGGTGACGCAGAGCGCCAGACGAAGAATTGGGTTGTCTTTGGATCCGACCCACATTCGTGCATGGGAAAGGTGTATGCAATGGCCCACCTGATGACCTTGATCGGAAAGGCCAGCATTGAGCGATGATATCATGATCTTCTCGACCATATTTCCACGGGTAAGAGTATATGTACATTGGTGCTACTGGAAGATCTCACTGACACTCTGCGCAAAGGACGGCTGTTGTCTGATCTTCAGCAAGAGACCCGCAGGTTCTGCTGATGACGAGAACTTCTAAAAGCATTGTTGTAGACCAGACCGATCGCAAAGTTGCGCGGAGCTCGCAGCCAGCAGACATGGTACCTTTGCTAGGCTATGTCATATCCTTCACTCCCACCGACGGCTCGCCTGATGCGCCCGGCGTGCAGTAATCACTGGTCCACAGCGTCTGTGCTATCCTCGCCGCTAATCGCTTTGATGGCTGGCTGTCGAGATCACGTGCAGGCGATACTAAGGTCAAACAAGAAGACATCCATGGCATCCTTCCTGCTGAAGACTACCTTTCCCATGTTTCTAACACTTCCAATATCGACGAGGGACCCCGAAAGCGGCCAGCGACGCTCATGTCGTCATGGCGTGGCGTCCTGACGGTCTGAACTGAAGCGAGCCTGCATAATACTCAAGGGGCTACCACTGCATCGATTGAGACATCGCCGGAAGCATCGCCTGATGAGGTTTGCCCACGTCGGCGATGTCTGGATTTTGTGGCTGGAGGGTGTTAGACGCTGCCTGATGTTTGGAGGGTTCCCACTGCCTCTATGTCGCTACTTTCCGTGGGGACACTGTGACACATCACCCAGCTCATATGTCCTGGTCTTATACGTCTTTGACTCTGTCCAGCCGTGGTACTTCTCATCCGCCCTCATCGTTATCTGAAACTGAAGACACGAATATGGATTGAAGCGTCGAGGATAAGGGTGACCGAGAGGTATAAATTGCTCGAAGTAAACCTGAATTTCGTCAATTCCCTGTCCTATCCGAAGAAGAGAGAGGACGAAGCTATTCGCTTTACGAAATGGAAAGGACCACAAATGCAGAGAAACTTATAGCCTACGCTTTCACAAACCGAGATCTCCTAAAAGAGGCGCTTGTTGCCGCAGGGAGTCGCGAAGTCAAGAACGTCGACATTCGACACGATGGCGCAAACAAGGGCCTTGCAATGGTCGGAGATGCTCTGATCCGGCTCATCATTGTTGACGAATGGTTCTCCGGACAAGAGACTCGCGGTGGGGATATTTTGCTTTATCGTGAATACTGGTGCTGATTCCTACCAATAGCAAAATGCGAAGCAACGGTCCAAAAACTTGCTTGCAACGAACACCTCAGCACTCAGGGCCACGAAGCCAACGTCGACTCTGACATCTTCAAAGCCACGAGCCAAAAAGGTGTTGTGGCAGTAACCACCATGGCCACTACTGTCGAGGCAATTATTGGGGCCGCTTGGTACGACAGCGGGAAAACCTTCGAAGTTGTTCACTCGATTGTGAAGAAAGCCATTGAGTGAGGTGACCACTAGTACAGCTCTTAGTATTGCCGTTTCTTGTCAACCGTAGATCGTTTATGACCAAACTCTACAGGAGCTTCCACGCACCAATCAGCGAGCCAAAATTTTCAAATTATCCCTGATGATTGCTCCTGTGTCGCCACGGAATGCTGCCGCAGACACAGAGAGGTAAAGGCACCTTTCACCACATGCCGCAGACACAGAGAGGCAAGACACCTTCCACCACATTACATGTTCTGGAGTCAGACTCAATGGACGCATGAGTGATCTCATTCGAGCACCACCTCGTCCTAGGCCTTGATCAAGTCTCGCGGGCATCGATACTTTTGCGGAGCCTGGAGTTGTCTTCTTCCAGAACTCGATTCTGGGCTTGTAGTTTCGCATTCTCCTGCTCCAGATGAGTAATATACTGCCATTGCAGACGACTTCGCTCGTTGCAAAGCTCTGTATGTGTGTCCGACGTAATGTTGGCCACCTTCAACAAGTTGTTTGCCTTTTCTACTTCCTCCCGAGCGCTCATCAGCGCGCGGCTCTCTCGACTCGTGTCGTCGGCCATTCGCCTCCCAGATGATCACGAACAGCTTGCGTGTCCGGTGGATTGTGAGGTTGTTTGGCGGCTGCCCTAATCATGGGAGCTGAGCTTGCCGTGCTGGTTGGTACTGGAGGTAAGCGTGTTTTCGATCGTGGAAAGCTGGCTGATATAGCGCTAGGGCAATCTCAAGACTGATGATGTTGTTCAAAACAAGACCTCTTGTGTGACTAACTGAAAGCCTCACCGTCCATACTGGCTGAATCTTGAGCTGTCTCTACGAACATCGCGATAGCAAAGACGCTTTGTGCATGACGTCACAGCGGAGCGGACCTGACGTCACACTTTCCATTCGCAAAGCGACAGTAGGCGCCACCCACCGCCTGGGGCAGGTGCTGGTGCTAGCGCTGCTAGTGCGTCCGCGCAGCCAGTCGCAGGCCGAGCCCCCCGCGCATTAGAACTACATGGAGGCATGAAGAAGGCGCATGTGGGTCGGACGGCGTCTTTCTTCACACCTGCATGAGAAGGTGCGTCACTACATCATATAGGGATTCGCCGTGTCATGCCCCGGCCATTGGCTCTTTCCGCGCAGACATCGTGGGTCACACTTTCTTTTCCATCATGCCCTCTGCAAGCCAACACCAAGCAGAGGGCGCCGCGCCGAGGACCAAGAGGGGCTCCATTGCCTGCGTCGCCTGCAACACCTGCCGTCGTCGCAAGACCCGGGTACCACCACACCCTCTCCGCCCCTCGCCCCTCCAGGCTGACCTCTAACCTTGCCTCTCCAGTGCGATGGAAAGCGTCCCGCGTGCAGGCGGTGCAAAGACTCCGGGAAGACCTGCGTCTACGAGGCCAACGTCAACGAAAGTCGTCAGGCCGCTCTGAAGCGCGAGAACGAGGAGCTTCGTCGGCAGTTGGCACGCTTCAATGACCAAGCTGACCGGCAGCACATCGATCCTCACGCGCCGCAAGATATTGCTGCCCATCCCCCTGACGACGAGTCATTGTCGACCCTGGCCCCGAGCCTGAGTAGTCACTCGCAATCGGCGGCCCTTTCACCTATGTCTTCCTGGACCGCCTCATATCCACACGCTTTCTCAATCACAGACGAAAGGTCGGTATAACAAGCCGCTTTCTCCATAGGCAGTCCAATCCATAGTCTAAGCTGGACGAACAGGGACCATCAAAGCATGGGCATGGGCATGGACAGCAGGAGGTCTTCGCGCGCGTCTCTGCCCACCTCCACATCAACTTGCCAGGCCCTCATCCACGCCCTCACTTCGCAATCCGACAATGAGGCCACTATGACCCTGGCGAAGCTACGGCTTGGCATTCCGTGGAGCCAGATTGTAGACCAACTGGCAGACTCTGGCCACCCTATCTCGCCATGTACGTGCCAAGTCGACCCGCAGCCACATAGCGCAGCGACAGACAGGCATGGCCAAGCCAGTCGTTCGATTTCCGGTTTCGACAAGTTTTCATGACAAAATGAACGGGAAAGCGATCGATTAGTTGCCTTCGAGTGGCATGGGCAGCCCGTCTTCGATTGAAGGCGGAGCGCGTTTTCGATGCGAAGCACGGGAAACGACCCACAGCAACTATTACCGAGACCAACGACAGACCCCCCAAAATCTCGACCACAACAGTAATGATTACAACAACAATTACCGAGACCAACGACAGACCCTCCAAAACCTCATCGAGTACAGTAAAGATTCCAACATCAAGCCCACGTCGGCTCGCGAGCCTCCCAAAGACGAAGAAACATGGACAGCAGAACATATATGCAAGATACGTCTAGCAGAGATAATGGAAATCCCAGTCTATAGAAAGCTTTCGATCCTCCTCAAGTCCAAGGACGGCCGAATCGCAATGCGAATCAGTACATTGAATCTTTACCATGCATCCCAAGCCAGGCTCCACGATGCTCTAGTAGAACAGCCTGGCCTCTGAACATCAACGGTGTTAGAAATGACTTGGATAAGACGTGTAGATGGTTCAATTAACTTAGCGTTCATTCAAACCTTATCTAGACTACCATAGCTCTTTGAGTAGTACTAGACTAGAGAAGAGGGAGACTTTGCTCGCGGAAGCCTAACTACCAATTCCGTTCAGACTCGGTATCGCCAGCTAGTAAGTGAAGACTTGTCCTCAGGCTTTCAAAAAGCTGACAAGGTGTTGGAGGGCGATAGCAGGACTCGCTTTCTTCAATTTGTGCAGGTACTGTTGACATAGGCTCCAGAGGAAGGGGGACGAGCGACTAAACTTCTCGCAGATCCGTGGCTACGATCATATGATGATTACTTCTTCTAAATCTCGCGGCTCCAGCCAATTTTGGGCGACAACAACGATGCCGTACGTCTCCTAAGACAGGGAGTAGGCGGATCTCGCAAACGCAGCAAATCTCGCAGAACCTAGAATCCTAAGTGGATAGTTGGCGCTCTCGTACATCCTACTTCGAATTAAAAGGAGCAGGAGGCCCGTGGTCTAATCTTGGTGTCATAACTATGGGACATAAATTTGTAATAACCCACATGTACGAGTATTTAACTTAAACTAGAGATTAAGAAATGCTTGATAAAGGAGTTGTCGGAGGAGGGTGATTTATTCCTGGCATCAACCCGATACTCTGTTCATCAATCAAGTGCTAATTTAGTTCTACAATCCTGTCTCAAGGCAATGTTTCACTCTCACAAGGGGTCAGGTCTATTTTTTCCACTCTAGCGACAAAGCTGCCGACACTAAGAAAGGCGTACGGAGCAGTTATGAGCGGCCTAAACCACTTTGGATACAGTCGATGGACATGGCAAGGTTCGAGGAGTACAAGGAGAACATACTACAAGGAAACCGTCCCTTCACCCGCAAAGTGGAGAGATTAAGCACATAGGATGGCTCACGAGGTTTGGCCATAGTGAATCATCATCGTCTGTCACTATCAAGTTCTCCAAGCCGGAATGTGCCAACAAGGCCATTGACGAGGGACGGGTATGGCAGGGCGAGCTGATACAATGCGAACGGTACGATAGGCAGTGTTGTCCGCGGCAGTTTTATCTGCGGCAGTGTTTCAATTGTCGAAGATATGGCCAATGCAATGCAATGTAAGGCAATGCCGAGACGTAGCTACTGCACGAACGACCGCACCCGCCCGACGTTGCGCTGTGGTTATTGTTGTCATAGACGGTGGGTGTGGTGGTTTAACACTTGGTGGCCTAGATTCACAATCCGACATTCTCTTGTCTCTTGACCTCGAGAAATTGGTGGAAACATCTAATTGCGATATAAAAGCTTTCACTACCAAGCTATGGCCAAATCAACAACATTCTCACGATCCGCATTTCCTGTCGTCCTGCGCGGATTACATTATCCTTCTGCTCATCTGCTACAGATAGTACACCTGCTTAAGCAGCATTCCGAACACCTTCTACCATCACGCAGAATGCGCATGAATAGGATCCTGCGTACCATTAACACCACCGGCATAGTTGTTTTGCGTCTGCTCAGAAGTCCCCTTCTCACTGACGGGAGGAGGACCATCCTGTAAAGGATCCCGAATCCTCAGTCCAAGACGCTGGGGATCGATACTCCAGTGTCCCCAGATCAACGCGAGAGAAAACACCGGCTTGGCCATAAAGTCCAAGCAGCCGTAAAAGACAGCCTCATCGTTAGGAGTGATCACATTTCCGCCCTCGCATAAGCCCCAAGCGATGGGATAGAGGAGCCAAATGAATAGTGTCAAAACACCACAGAGCATGAAGACACGATGCACGTCTCGACCTAGCCTGGCGGCGCTAGCTCGACCGACGATGGCGAGTTCGTAGAAGACACCGAACTATATTCGTTAATTTTACAACCATCCGCAGCAGCCTTTCAAACTTACCATAGCGAAACAACCGAACGCATAAAATCCCCACTTATAACGCGATTTGACCAACGCTCCAATCAGTCCCGTAACGATCATCGCCTCGTCCATAGCGATAGTCCAGAGAATCGTCGGCCAAGGCAATCCTGCCGTGAGACAGAGATCCAAAAGGAGCATTGGCGTCGTCACGAACCAGTCAATGTACCGTGCATAGAGAATTTCTCTGTTCCTCCCCATTCCCCCATCGTTATTTAGGAACTCAACGTCAATAGGGGTCCAGCCAAGGTTACTGCCCATGGCGAAGTAGGCGATGCAGGCTACCATGCACAGGCCGGCGGAGAGGTAGAAGAAGACACGGTCGGTGCGAGGTTTGAGGGCCGACAGACCAAGGATGGTAAGAGAGACAAAGCCCATGACGGACATGATGGCGAAGTAGAAGTCAGAACCCCAGGTGGTGATGGCAATCTGGACAGTTTTCTTGGAAGAAAGTCAGCAAATTGGCTCAGAACGACAGATGCCTTGACTACTTTGGGTTTGATTAGACACTTGCATTGTTTTGAGTGTTCGTATTCACGATGAGAGCATTATTCGCCTCAACGAGGTTGGCGCCAAGCCAAATGAGTGCGCAAAGCACAGTCTGCATTGAGGACAGACCTGTCATTGTGGACTGTCGTGTGGAGAATGAAGAGTGTAAAGGCGCATAAAGATTGACACTGGGGAATTGTTCACGAGAAATTAGTTGATACTTATACAACTCCATCTGCAATTTCACTCACCAGGTCATGATGACCATCGCCTGTTCCGGCCATAGCCCGCCGGATGTACTTTACCGGAATCCGGAGCTTCCACCGTCAAACCTTAACTTCGCTCATCATGACTTTCTCCACGAGCGAAAAAACTTCGCGGCTAGCGAAGATGTAGTGCTGAGAGTAGCAGACGAGCACCCTCATAGTTGACTCTGATGGAGTATAAGTCGAAAACTCATCGAGACAAGGCTGCATAAGAACGATTGCGCGGTAGGTATCGCGGAGGCTTTTCACGACGCTGCTCACGGTGGGAGAAGTATAAGATCAAGACGATGGATAGCCAATACTTCTCAAAGTGTGATCGACATGGACTTGTGTGAAGTCATGTCGCCGGATTCCCTGCCTTCAACCCCACGCTCGACTGATCCGCGGTATCACTGCTCCTACTGTTGAACTGCACAACAACTTTGAGCAGGCCTAGCGACGGCAGCACTGCCTTGCCGAATTTGCTTTTATCTCCGTCCTGGCACGCAACGTTCTGTCATATCATACAAAAGGCAGAAAACACTCTCTGCATTTATGTGCCCTAAGACATTACCTTGTCCATTTTCTTCGTTGTGTTGGTGTATCGGTGTGCACTGACACAGACGAGATAGCTCCACATCACAACTTCAGAAGTCAACGTACCGCTTTAGCAGTCCTCTTCCTGCGCTTCAACGCCATATTGATCTCAGTGGGAGGCGGACTGAGTGGTGCGAACATATCGTACAATTACGACGTGCGAGGCGAGGGAAGAGTCTTGATCATGAGTGGTGGTGAATGACGATCATCGTCTGTGCAATTGACCGACTGCGTCAACGCTGGAAGTACGTGCAGCGTTGGGGAGGATCGCCGCCGCCCGACTTTGCGCTTGCGATTGTGAAGAATCTAGATTGTGAAGAATCGATGCCCAATCAGATGCCGCCGAACGCCAGAGGAAGGTGCTGCCTCATCTCGACGCCACGCGCCTCGACACAGTTGAGTTTCTTCAGTCCCGCAGCACGCTGGCATCGCAGCGGGAATGCGTCATCATTTCTGATGCCGCTTGCCTGGGGAAGTGGACTTGTGCGCGCCTTATTGTACTGATGTATCCCCACGCAACGACACTGCCTCGACGGCTCAACATCATGCTGCAGCGCCAGCTCCTGCAAATGGGTCCGCTGCGTTCGCAAGGCCAGCAGCAATCGATTAAGACGCGTGTTCTCCGCCTGCAGCGTCCTGGCGTCCGTCTCCAGTTTCTTGTGTGCCAGCTTGTTCCTGGACCGGCATTTGGCTGCTGCAACGCGGTTTCGATCGCGCAACTCCGCCCTGTCCTTGTTCGACATTCTCTTGCTGACGTTGCTGCTTGAATGGTCGCTCACGACATCCGGTTGTTCCATCACATCGCTCGTCTGAACAATGAATTGTTCGAGCTCAGGGTCTTGCTTGCGTTTGACACGATTCGTGAGCGGCAGTCGGTCGAATGCAGTCCAGTCATCCATGATCGAGTGGTCAAAGTCCTGGAGTGCTGAGTATGTTTGGCTATCGTGCATGCCCAATGGGATGGTCATTTCATGTGTCAACATTGGCTCAATGATCGGAATCTGCTCGTCAGCCCAGGTCGGGAACGAGTCTTCTGGCGGCGGTGGCAGGTCGCTCATATCCGGCGGAATGAATGTTGTATTCTCAACCAATTCATCATCAAGACTCAAGCTGGCAGCGGGCTCAAAGACCTGATCATCATTCTCACACTCCACAGGATTGGAATCTGGCGCCGAGCACGACGTCTCCGGTGGAGTGATGATCCGATTCGCAGCGAAGCCCTTGTCACATGGTGGATTCGGCGAGTCTGCAGAAGAGCTTTGCGAAGCTTGCAACTTGGCCTCTAGCTCGCCAATTTTGTTCTCCAAGTGCGCAACATACGCAGGGCCGCGAAGCTGCTTGACAGACACGCCGTAGGAGCATTCAAGCCTACCCAACGACATCAGCTTGGAACTCGCCCATAGAATAGACAGATCCGACAAACCCTACGGCGTCACACGTACAACAGGGCGTTTCTCCATTGCACTTGGCCTTTCGACGCTGACATTGGTCGCACTGGTGCCCGGGATTAGCTTGCGCGAGTCTTAATACACGACCTCGGAGGAGCGATGTACAGCTTTTGCAGTCCTTCTGGCTTTGCTCTTCCAAGACATGATGCTTTTACATCAAGTGTTGGCAGTTCGTAGACCTTCTCAGCGCAAGAAGGTACAGACGAGGCAAACCTTTGCAAGGCTATAAGGAATAAGACGCCTTTGATCTCATGGGGTCAAGCCTTCCGGAACAGCCTCCGGGTGAATGCTGTTTTGGAGTTGGCCGTTGCGACCAGAGATCGTGTCTGAGACCCAGTACTTAAGAATGTGGAGTTGTGGGTTCAAGAAGCGCGTACCGAGGTTGGGTCGTCTGCAAGTCTGCAAACTTCAGCCAATCTTTTAGTGTGAGACTAGTGATAAGTGGGAAGAAGTAGCCACCTCTTGTTGTGATGGAGGACGATCAATGGCTCGTGATGCCGATCTTCCCAACGCTGCGGGCCCTGTCGTGTTCCTGCTGCTTAGCGAGAGAGAGACAGCACTAGAACGCCACTCATCGCCGATTCCCCACTGGCTGTCCCGAATCCAGCGAGACCATCTCCACGGAGCTCACTCCGCCCCTCCTACCTCATGAGACAGTCAGCAAGGAGCTGTTCGCCGAGAGATGCGGAAGGTCAGATGCGACTGCATCGGGGATCAGCACTCTGGATGGGTCAGTCTTCCAACAACCTACGATTGTTATGCAAGACAACGCAAGGATCCATACAGCAAAGGCAACCTTAGCCCTCTTCAGGCAGTCAAACACTAGGTTAATGGACTGGCCAGCAAGCTCTCCAGATCTTAATCCAATTGAGAATCTTTGGAGCCTTCTTAAGTACAGGATTGGCCTCCATTTGCCATCAATAAGAGCTGAGGTTATAGAGGCAGTTAAGAAGGAGTGGGCTGCTCTTACTACTGCTGATATATCACGTATTTGCCAGAGTATGAGGGAACGGTGTCAAGCAGTTATTGATGCTAAAGGAGGCCATACAAGGTGGTGATCCACTTATATATCTTGATAGTTAGTTGAAGGATCAACGCTAGACAGGGGTTGTCATGATTCTTGCTCCAGTCTGTATACAGTATATACCCGTCCCAGCCAGGGACACATTCCGGAGAAAACGCCGTGCGTGGCTGTTTTAGAGTCTGGCTAGCGCCTCGAACTTGCTCGCAGCGATCTACGATGTCCCCTGAATGTGATGCATTATATTTGTCATTCACAGAAGCCCGCTCTTCACTTATCTAAGCGTAGAACGTCTGCTCGATTTGCTGCGTTCCATGATCACAAGTCTACTGCAGCGAAATGGTGCCAAAGCAAAGGCGAAGGGTATCGAAAGCGGTGAGCAGGTATGAACCTTCGCCATTGTAACATGCTCTGACTGATCTTCCCGGCTAGTGCGACCACTGTCGGCGTCGAAAGGCTAGATGCGATGGTGAAGTGCCATGTAGTGCCTGTGGCAACATCGGGTCAGCATGCCTCCAATTGTTGCAGCCTAGCAAACAGTTGCTAATTCCTTAGGCTCCGCTGCTCGTACGGCAACGACGTGAAACAACGTAGCGGTACAGCGTACATTGCGCAGCTGGAGATGAGAGTTAGACAGTTGCAGGCGGAACTTCGAACGAGTGAATCCTCCCAAAGCGGCCGGCTGCTTTCAGTCCCTGACGCTGATATACCGGCTGATCGATTTACCGACTCTCCCTCGGACATCGTGACAGATTCTCGTCATGTAAGCACATCTGGTGCGCGAGAGCTCCTTGCAGCCCAACCTTCTCCAATGGATGTCAGTCCGTTCCCTGGAGATCCTGGGGATTCTTTCGAGGTCAGCGGCGCCGAGTCTCCAGTTGCCGGTAGCGGGCTTTCGCCAATGGACGGCAGCTACATTGCCTTTGATGAAAATGACGATGGAGTTCCTTTCGTTAGCGATGATCACTTCGTCCCCGGCAGTGACGCCCCTGTTCTCCCTGGCGAGTCAAATATTTGGTCACCTGGCGTGGGATTAATAATGGACGAAGAAGCTGACCTTGGAACGCTGAGCCTAAGTTTTGAAGATGCCAGTTCGCGAAATGGATCTTGTTACTCGGGGACCTGGTCATCGTCCACACTCACACAGCTTGCTTTGCCATCTGCGGAGCTGACTTCTGAGCAAATGCCAGCCTTCCCAACCTTTGTTGCTAACGGATTCTATTCCCCTCATCAATTCGAGCCACCAGTGGAGAATCCAGGCCATCTTACTCGATTCGAGACACTCGAGCTCCTACAGCCACTTGGAAGTCAAAGCTCGCAGTCGCCAGAGGAGGGGTTGTTGGCCCACACGTCTCTTTCGCCACACGAGAATGCCGGTGTAAGACCCTACGTTTCTTACACTTCTAAATCATGTACCACACCGGAAGCCATCTTAGGTGCAAAGCAAACCTTACCTCGCGATCCACATCGCAGCGACGATGACAAGTCCGACGATAACGATCCAACTCTCAAACGTCGTGCCACCGTACTAGTGCGCGAGCGAAACCGCCTCGTCGCTACCAAATGCCGTTCGAAGAAGAGAGTCGCCCACGACCAGCTGGCGAGTGTCGCGCGAGAAATGGAGTTCCAGAACCGCAGCCTGACAGAGGAGGTCATTCAACTGCGACCAGAGCGGGTACGGCTGCTGGAGCTGGCTCTCAGGCATGATGCCGCTGCCGTCGACTGCACGTTTGGGCCAGTATTGTCGGCTTGCGCTTCTTCTCGCTTTGAGAAGTCGTCCACGTGGGAGGGAAATTCGGAATGCACATCGGCGCCAAACAATAATTTACTTGAGTTTGCCACTTACGCGTTCCCACATCATTGATCGTGTTAAAGCTCAATGTGTGTCAATCTAGCTTGCGATTCCTGCCGGATAGAATCTGGTCAATTACCTGCAGCGTTGAGGAGATCATTTCATTTCCTGCCTGTCCTTGCGTTTTGGGACACTAAGTTCGTTACCAGACGAATCGCTTACTACCAGTGCTCGCCTTTCACTTGTCTATAAGGTAGCCAGCTGAGTCCGAAATGTTAAGGAAGCTTAGTGTGAATTCGCTCAAGAAAGTGAATAAGACGGACGTACGTAGGACGAAAGCAGGATAATGCCTAGTCTCCTCCTTGCAGCGCTTAGAAATCTGGCGATGTATGGCCTTAGGGCGTGGTAATAGTCATGTGGACTTAGAGAGAGGGAATGGCGAATAACAGTATAGCGATCGCCGAGTAGAACTTGGTATAACAAGGGGGTTTAAACATGCCGAACCTCTGTGTCACTCGTGCTAGTGCGTGTACCAGTTGCTATTACGCCGTACGTTGCGCTCTTAGTGCTTGCTCTGTTTCAGTTTAACAAGTCGTCACCTTCGAACCCTTTGCAAAAGCGTCGTAATGGCGAGAACCGTCACTGTAGCTATCGGCTCTACGCCACTGTTTGTAAGTCATGTAATTTAGCGACAATAAGAACTTAGATGTTAGCAGTAGAGCTTACAGTACAAAGCGAGAAATTATAGTGTTCCTTGTCTCAGCTGTTATTGGCAAAGAAAAACTAGTCGTAGCAGTAGATCTAAGTAGAACAAAGCCAGCCGCGGTCACGTGACAGTCTTGTGCACCGCTTCTGCGTGGTTCTGTAGGTGCATCTTGCTGTTTAGAGTGATCTTACAGCACGGATGTGGACAGTAGACTGGCTCATCATCTGGAAGGTACTGTAGATGTCGATTTTGGAAATGTCTCCTTAAAGTCCCTCGACTGTGGAATTCCTTTGCACGGCGCTCGGACGATAGCGTCGTGTCCCCTAGGCAGAATATGCATTGGGTAGGGTGGCATACTAGCGGGAAAGATAGGTTTACCTCCTCCTTATTATCATCATCTGATGGTGACAATGTTGTATTCACGCCACGAGGGCGGCAGACTTTAGGCATGACCGGCTCGCGCTTTTGGCTTAGTACAGCCACAGCAGCGATGGCTTCCGAGCGACGGTTGCTTTCCTCCTCTGGATCGAATGGGACAAAGCTGAGGAGTGCATTGAGCGCCCGGGAACGATGGCTGCTCAGGGGTTGTTCGTCCTCTAGCCCGGCCTTCTGCTGCCTCTTCTCGACGCCGTGGTTCAGTTGCCGCTCGATATCCAGTGTGGGCTGATGCCGTTGGTATAGCCTCCTGCTTTCGGCGACTATCGCCTTGCGAACCGCCTTACTTGTGTTCTGGCAGTCGCGGACCGCATGTCGATAGACGCTGTAGATAGCCGATCCCCTTGCTCGACTGATTGTCCTATATCGCTTACGAATCTTGCTCTTAAGCCCTTTCCGGTACCTTCGAAGTAGTTTGACCTCTGGGTGTCTTGCAACTTGGGCCTGCTGCTCGGCTGTCAGTGCCGTTAGCCGACGAGGGTCGATTGTGCGGGACATGCCGCTAGCCGCTCGCATGACCGCCGTCTGTGGCTCAAGACCGCGAAAGGCCGCCTGTGTGTCCGCCGTGATGTAACGCGATAGGTAGCTGTTCTGGAAGACGGCGGATGAGGCATGCTGGAGGATAAGATTTCGCTGTGATTCACTAATATGGCCTGCTGTAATTAAGCGATCGGTACGTGCGTGACAACGTGCTGTACTTACTACTGCTATCGAAAGCTTCACCTGCTCCCCTACGGAAACAGTACGGGCCGACCGGAAGGTAGAAGCCCGTGGCCTTGCCCAAGGCGTTGAGCTTGTCTCGCAGCCAGGTCGCGGTTGCAGCCACGTCTGGCGACACAACAACGCCGCGCACTTCGTGCTTAAGCCGGCGGAAGATGGGAATCCGCTGCCATTCTTCTTTGATTGGTAACCGCTGCTCGTGTAGACCGGGAGTGACTTTTAGGCGGAAGAGTTGGTCGGGTTCAGTAAGTCCATCAAACGCCTGGTCGGCAAACATCAGACTCAGAAGCATTATCTGAGGGCATAGAAGAAGGCACGGCTCGCTTGCGACTTGCGGGATGGGGATCGTGTTGCTACACCGATCTCGTTAGCTAACAGATATAAATCGTTGGCTAAGAGCCACATACTGAGCCTTTGGACCCAGGTAGCTCTTCGTTTGGGTGAGGGTAACGTCAACGACAAGCCTCGGCCATTCGCCTCCGTTCGGATCTTTGAGGAGAGAGAGCGCGAAGTCGCTATATGTGATGCCCATTAGAGCACTTGGACGACTGCCGGTGATTCCTGCGAGCTGAATCAACAACGCTAGCTGCACTCTTAAGCGCTCATGCTCCATGGGTACTCGACTCGAGCCCCAGAGGACTTTTAGTAGCTCGAATTCGTCCTCGGCCCGTACGATTGCTTTTGGCTTCCTCTCCGTGCTCAGCTCGAAATCTGCGGCTAGTCTCTAGCGCACCTACGTATTCTTAGTGGGTGAACAAGAGGAAGGCATAGTGTAATGAGCCAACTCACGCCATGCATCTGAGTCTTGACGAGAGGGTTGATATCCACAATGCCCGTCTCTTTCCGCCGCATGAGCGTAAAGACATTCCAATAGGTCTGTAGAGTGCTGGCGTGGCGCACACTGGCACGTCGCGTGTGGAGGACGTAGTGGAAGAAGTTGTCGAGAACCTTGATGGGCATTGCCTTCAATGTGGCTATTGCATCTTTTCCGACGTGCTCGCAATATCTGATCCAGCGCCGGTCAGTACACCGTAGGGCTGGCGATTGTGTCTCACGTACTGGTCCCAAAGCTCTTTAATCCAATCACTCAAGCTCTCTGTGCCTGCTTTGTAGATCTTCTGCGTGTGCGAGGTGTCGTCGAACTCCTCTTCTCTACGGCGATAGTATTCCGCCGAGCCCACGTCGGTGGCATCGACGTCCCAGATGGCGTGGACGGCTGATCGAGGGGCGTTGTGACCTCGGCGGCGAAGGCGAGGTTTGATCGATCTCGTCATGACGGTGCGCTGGCTGGGAGGTGAAGGGTACGGTAAGAGGAGGCGAGAAGGAAGCGTGAGTCGAGGGCGACAATGGAGGGCCCCAAGGGCCTGATAAAAGACGGCGGCACGGGCGCAACATGGCTGTGCGACAGCATGACACCCCCAGGGTCAGGCGGCTGCGTCGAAAGTCAAGCCCTCTGTTTCAGGCTCCAGGAAGAGAGTTTGATAGAGGGGAAGTGACCGGGGTTGAACGGGCGCACGGGCCGGACCGAATGCAGCTGAAGACGTGGGGGCGCGCAGGAAATCCAGCAAAAGTGCGCCCGAAAAAGGCCGCAAAAGCAGCCCGAACGGGGCGCAAAAATGTCGCGCCCTCGATAAAGACTATAAATTAGTTCTAAGTTACTTTTATTCGAGACTAATACTCTAACTTCTAGTAGCTTAGAGTTAATTATTTAAAATATATAGCTAAGATTTTACTATATCTAATAGTTATTTTTTACGAATAATACTATTAGGTAAGTAATTTAGTTAAAGCCTCTAAAAGGTCTTATATAAAAAGTACTACTTAAAGCTAGTAGTATTACTTTATATAAGTTTACTTATAAGTAATATATAATACTATATATATTATAGGAATAGAATACGTATTTAAAGTATTAGGGGCTTAAAGTATAGAAAGAGCTCGAGTATTATATAACTTAATAAATCTTAGTTAGTAGGACTTTAAATAAGTATATCGCTATAACTATAAGTAGTATTTATTAGACTAGAGTACTATTAGGACTAATATTTTACCTATATTAACTCTAAGTAGTAGTTTCTTTTCTTTTTTAACTCTACTATAATTATATTTATATCTATCTATATTCTAGTACTTAATATATAAAGATCTTATAGTAATATATATAGACTCTATAGAGTCTATCCTTTATACGATATTTCGACTAGTTTATTATTTATAGTCTCTATCTATAAACTAGTAATATAGGAATATTACTATATTAGTTATAGACTATACTTTTCTAATTAATAAACTATATTATATAGAGCTATTAGTAGCTATAAGTTTTACTAGTCGTTAATTCTTATATAGGTTTATCGCCCTTATATTATAAAATAAGTACTCTAGTAAAAGTACGATTACTATAGCCTCTAGAACTCTATTATAACTATAACTCTATACTTTCCTTTAATAATAGATATTAAGTCTCTAGAACCTAATATAGCCCTTTAAGACCGATCTATATAGAAAGATATTAATCGTAAAGTACTCAAACAAATATAACTAGCGCTATTTAAGAAATAGTACGTTACTAGCCGCCGGATCTATACTATACTAAGCTAACGTGCTTATTACCTAGGGAATATCTATAGTATAACGAGCCGCGTATAAGAGCCGCTACTACGGAAGGGCCGGACGGTACGTAGCGTACGGCTAGAGAAACGGAACTCTACGAATTAGTTAAGTACTCTTTACTAGTACTTATATATCTAGTAAAGAGGAAGACGATACTAGCGACGTATTATTAAGATATAATTTTTCTATTATCGTAAGAACTAGGCTTATTATTACCTATATATCTACTATTTAACTTTAGTAACTATAAGAATCCCGAGAACTAACTAGTAATTATAGGTTATCCTCGATAAATTTATATACTACTACTATATAATACTCTATACTTCGAGTATTATTACTATTACCCGCGCGTATAGTATTTATTAAGTCTAGTAACTATAGAATAGCTCGTCCGCTACGGCTATCGCTAGTAGAAGCTCTATAAGTATTACGGCCGAAGTCCCCGAGAGCTAGTAATAAGTCCTCGTCTAGAGCCTAACCTCGATCCTAACTCCGATAACGACTCTAATAACGACTATAAATATCTAAGTAGAGATTAAAATTATAAGAGGAGCTATATAAGCGATAGTTATAAACGATATATCGTCTACTATATTAAATATTAAGAGTACTTAGACGAGATTCGTAAGCTATATATAGAACATAGACGGATTTAGGCGAATATAGACTAGATTAGATAGACTACTACTACTAGAGATAGGGTTCTATATTAAGGCTAAAACTTACTAAGCTAGTATTAAGACCTAAGTAATAAATTATAACATAGCCTCTATTAAGATTAGGATATACTAGGCTAGTATTAGGAGCTAAGCGACGAAATACGGCGTAATTACCGACGAAATACTAATAACCGAAATTGTTTTCTAAACGACGTATAGCGGACGTATAGTAATTAGACTACTCGAGCTAATAAGGTAATAGGCGAAATACGCCGTATATACTAGGATAGTATAAGAGAATAGCGTAAGATATTATAAGAAGAGCTACGATAATAGGGCGAGCTACGACGATAGATTATAGATAATTTTAAGGCTTAATTAAACCGAACCTATAGTAGCTATATACGACCTATAGAATATTAGTCTTAGTATAGGAGAATACGTTAAGTCTAGCGTCGTAGTCTTCTATTATAGCTAGCCTATAGACGGTAGAGGTATCTATTATAAAGGAATACTAAGAGATATTTAGAAACCTAAGAGGGACCGAGGTAAACCTTCCCTACGTAATAGTATACGTAATTCCCTAGTACGTATTTTATACTCGCCGTATACAAGGATAGAGAAAGTAGAAGTTTATTCTACACTTAACCTAGTACTAAGTTAATTAGAGTTCTATATATTACTATAACCCCCTATTATAGTTTAAACTTCTCTACTCTACGGTCGTAATCTATAGAACCTAAAAAACGACGATAGTTAACCTCGCCGGCGCGACGTAGGC